TACAGTGGAGTTTGACCTTGGCTGAGGATGTTACTAACTCATACTAACATACTTTGCATGTTCATTTCACAGTCTGGATGCCCTGAATTCAGAAAGCTGAAAGTGACCTGTCACGGCAGGGGCCAGGGAATGGAAATGCTCCATCAGAACAGGGAAAAATGAGCTGCCCTTTCTTTTGAAACAAATCCTTTCAAGTGGTCTACATCTTTCATACCACAAAATTTCTTTATAGGTAGAGGTCGGGCTGTCACCTGAGAAATAGAGCACAATTTTTGGTGTTGTTTTCAACACCAAAGTTGCTTTTTGCTGTACCAAATTTCACGCTGAAAACAGCCACTGGATATTTTCACTAAAACAAGCTTAGAGAGGGGAACTATTTCTTAACACAGAAATAAACTGGACTAAGCGTGTTGCTTTTGTCATCATGTTTGAAGTCTTGTGTCTGATTGAGTTTTAATTCTGTAGGTGTGTTTTCAACCACTAATTAAAACCTGATGTACTGTGCTATTTGAAATATGCCCTTCCTATTTCTGCAGTAATGACTCACATTTGATAAAGCATTACACTGTAAAAAGTCTCAGTACAGAAACATTTATTAGATTGATTTGAGTCATGCAGATATTTTATCTGAAGATACCATTTGTACTCACCAAAGTCTCCCTCAGAACTCTGATATTCAGCAGCACTTGGCCTTTCAGTGCTACTTATGGTTGTAATTGACCCTCTTAGTGAAAAGAATTTGCTTTTATCTATCTGGTGTACTGGTGAAAGCAGAAATCCTACAGAAAAATGATGCATATTCTTACAATCAAATGTGTAATTATAGTTGCCATAAATAAAAATAATCAGTTAAAAGACTATAGATAGATTCAGCAATTTGCTGATGTTTGAATGCTTCGTGGAGGGTTTAAAATTTTTTTTTATGGGAAGTGGGGCTACAAAAGAATGCCCTTGTTTAAACAGACCGTCTCAATTTTTAGAGTGGGAATTTTCATAAAGGAAGATTGAAAAATGGCATTTCTACAATGTGAAAGTGATTATGATATCTCCAGACCAATGTATAATAATGTAATAATTTTAAAATTTGGTATCCAAATATATTTTTCTAGGTTTTTATTCTAATTTTCTTTCCAGAGTGACATTTACTTGTCAAATCCATTTTCTTTCTTTACCAGCAGCTGTTTTCTGATAAGGCTTTGGGCTTGGTATTTATAAACCTGTTGACTTTTTGATTTTATGAACTTGTAATATGTTTATTCAAATACTGTGCTAAAGATTTTTCAGGAATATGGAGTAAAGTTTTTTATGTCTCAGTACTCTTACCTGAACTGTGCAAATTCAATATATTCAATTTTCTTACATTTTGATTGCAAATAATGACTATGTTTTAAATCAATAGTGAAATATTTGTCTGTCTGCAGACAGGAGGCAAAATTACATTGAACCCTGTGTTTCTATAGATATTATGAATTGTCAGATATGTCACATACTTTGAGAAAAGAAAGCTGCTGTTGTATCCACCTGATACAGACTCTAATAGCCTAATTTATTTTTTTTATAATTAATTTTCCAGTCTGTTTAAATCATCTCCCCTTCTGCTTTTCTATTTCCAGATAAAACATGGCTATTCCTTATACAGTGTAAGAGGCTTAGTCTCCTCTTTGATTTGCCATGCATGGTAATGGAAAAAACCTAGCATTTTCAATATTTTTATGTTATTTTCAATAACATAACCAACGTGTCTTGATTTTCTTCAAGATGTTGAAAACAAGCAGAGCTCCCTGAATGGATGTAGATCAGGGCAAGAATCGCCTGAACTATCCTTTCATGACACTKATTATAATTGTCAAGGCTCTGTTAGGAAGACAACAGCAGAGCAGTATTTGAGAAAGTCCATCCTACTCCTTTTGTGTGTCTTATTTCACTGTGATTTGCTTTCTTCTGGCAATTAAAAAGGTAAAACACAACAGGTTTGGATTTTTTAAAAAAGCTTACAGTGGATTGAAACACCATTTTAAAAGCCTGCCTAGCTTCTGTGGAGCTCCAATTGCCCTTTTTAAACATGGTCTTTTTTTTTTTTTTTTTTTTTTTATAGAATTATACACTGGTTGGAGTTGGAAGGGATGTTTAAAGATTATTATCTCTGCCCACTTGGATGGGCAGGAATATCTTTTACTAGGTCAGGTTGCTTAAAGCCACTTCCGACCTGACCTTGAACACTTCCAATGATAGGGCATCCCACTCCACTGTCATTTGCATGTGCATGTGGAACCTGTACAGTTTATTTAAAAAGGAAAACTTAGACTTTTCACTGAGTTACACCTGGTAAGTCATTAAATTTGTGGTGGAATTGCTTATTCAGTTGTGGTTCTGTTTCTGCGAGGTTCCCATGAAAATTTGAAATAAATCTGTGCTAATAAATGAAAATAATTCCTGAATGGAGCACAAATGCATGTGGTGTTCAAGTTAGTCTTTAAAGAGTAATTGCTGTGCCTACAAGTTGTTTGCTCAAATCAGCTGTGTAACAAAGCTGCCTTTTTTGATTACTGTGTGTTCTCAACTTTTTCTGAATGTAAAATGCCAGAAAGTGACCAACAGGCAGCACTAACTAGAACCAAGCCTTGTGTATGCAAATGCTAAGCAAGGACCCAACATGCTGCAAGCTCTTTTGTAACCATGCTATACTAACTCATAAAATTTCTATAATGAAATATTACTGCAATGTAGAAATAATCATAAGCCAGTAGTTTTAAGGGTAGTTTTAATGAGTTTTTAAGTTTTTATTTTGTTACTTGAATAAACAATCAGAGCAGCTTTACAGATTCAGATCAAGGGTGCATCTAGCTGAGTGTTGTACAGAGAAGCTAAGGACAAGTAAAAGCTGAGTTTGCATATGTACACGTATGGTAATTACTCCCTGATGCTCTCCCAGCCTCCAGCTATTTTCAGCTCAAGGGATTTCCTGAGTCCTTTGTGATTGCCAGTTTTGTACCCTGTAGCTTATCTTTCTTCCACAATTTCTCCATCTTTTTCTTTCATCCTTACACATTCATAACATCCTTTGGAAATGTTTGGTTTGTGTTTGGTTTTTGTTTTGAGATTGCTCTTGTGTTTGCATTCTTTTCTTCCAAGTCTTGCTGTCCATCACCTGAATAACCATCACTTTTTGCTTATTTTAAACTTGTTTCCCCCCAGGAACCAGAGATTGATCTGGTGGTTGCACACACTTATTAGTAATTCAGCTCTTTTATCCTTGACTTCACACACTCTTAAGTGAATTCCATCTGGTATTCTGTTGATTCTGTCTGGCTGTATTCTAGCCTCTGCCTGTGATTGTTTCAGCAGGTAACTGATAATAAGGTCATAAAATAGCAGATTTCCCCCTTTGTTTATGAACATGGGTCTTGAGGGATTCATGATATAGCAGTTTCTTCTTTTATTTTTTGTCATTTCAATTGTACTTTGGAGGAATCATTTAATTATTTTGCCCATAGTGAAGTAAAAATATAAAAATATTAGATGACTATAGCAAGATCATTGTTTCTGTTACTTAAAAACSCCTGGAAAATTGCATGCAGTAAAACGCAAGGAATGTGAAACACGAGAGTATTGTGGAAAGTTCAAGCAAGTCAAATTCCACTTGGAAATTAAAATGAAGCTGGAAATTGAAGATGTACTAATTATTTTTGTTTATGTCTTATAATTAATTTTACTCACAATACAAGTACACACCCCATGGTTGCTTTCTAAGTAGCACACCTATAAATATACCAAACTACTATATTTTATTTCAGCAATGCCGAGTGAAAATCTAGCTTATTAAAAGWTAATACTCCCTTTTCACTAAGCTTGTATTTCTCTAGATAAAAGCATATTTTCTGAATTTCTGTTTCAGCRAAGTCCAGAAATAAGAATTTTAGAAAATGCTCCTAATTATGATGCTGTTCATCTTTGATTGTTCTGCCTTTCRTAAGGAATGTCCAGTTGCTTCAGAGTAGTTCTGATAATGTTTGTCAAGAGCTAGATTAATTTACACACTTTTGAAATAGATTTAGCATCTTCAAACAGAACAGGGACTTTCCTACTACGGCACTCCAGTCAACACCAGTCCTGCTTTTCCCCTGTCCTATCCCCACTGCAACCCCTCTTTCTTCCCTTCATCAAATACAAAGTTTGCAGTTTGGGTCAACTGAAATGAAAATAAAATTACCATTGATCTTGTCCATATGATCTGTTTATGTTCTGACAGACTATTTAGCATGATACTACATGAACGTGCAAGGAATTTAAATTTAAATATAAATTATTTATTTGATATTTGTACATACCATGTGGTACTTAGGTAGTGCCTGTGTAGTTTGAGTGTCCTGATAAAGAGTCTGATTTCTCAGAAACCTTTTCAACAAGTGAAAAATAAGCTAACTAAGCTAACTTTTTCCTTGTAAGCTTTGAAACACCCTATTAATGTARAATATATTGAGATTTTTTAGATTACAAATTGGAATGCTCTTAATCTGGGAAGACTGCTCTTCTGATGGAAAGAACGCCAACCTCTTGGTTTTTACTTTTGCAAAATAATACTTTCTTTTGAGATTTGGTAGAAAAATGTTGTAATCAGTTAAACATAGAACTGTAATGATTGCAAGTGCAAGAAAGTATATTAATATTGCCTTAGATTAAAAGAAGACTTAAATGAGGTGGATCTAGTATTGCTGTACATAGATGCCAGTGTAAAGACTGAACAGATCTAACAGATGACTAAAAGCCCTTAGAATTTGTTTAGTATAGCAGATTATCTGTGTTTTGAGAGGGATGAAAATTTTTTTGTTTTCTTGGTTTACGAAAACAATTGTTTATTAAAATCCAAGAATACTGATAAATTGTGGGTGTGATGCCATCCTTTATAAGATAAGATGAAAAAATACTTAAATAGTAAAAGCGAAAGTAAGCAAATTGGATTGGCTTTTGGACACATTGTGTTTCATTTGGTTTTTTGATAGGTGAAATGAGGAATGATTTATATATCACCGTAGAAAGAGGAGAATTTGAGAAAGGAGGGAAAAGTGTTGCCAGAAACGTGGAAGTGACAATGCATGTGGTGGACAGCAGTGGTCAAATCTTAAAGGTATCCTTGTTTTATGTTTTTCCTTACTGTACTTAATTTTGATACAATTTTTCAAGTAGTCCTTGATGACATTTTATCAATGAACTAATCTATCCTTAATCATGTTTTTCCTTCATTAGGATTTTATCTCATTTGGCTCCGGAGAGCCACCAGCCAGCGAGTACCATTCTTTTGTGCTTTATCATAACAATGGCCCCAGATGGGCTGAGCTGCTGAAACTTCCTATTCCTGTGGATAAATTTAGAGGAGCTCACATCCGCTGTGAATTCCGGCACTGCTCCAGTAAGTGGTGTTCATGATTTCTGCAGTCCTCCCCATTACATCTRCAGCAAAGCACAGGAGTTTCCATCACACCTCAGGAAAAAGACAGCTGCGTGAACTTTGCTCTGTTATGCTTTTTTTTACTTATGAAATTCCAAAATTTTTAAAACCTTCTGAAACATTATGGATATGATTTTGAGGTAAAAATTGATGACTGGTTCCACATTCTGCATTCCAAGGTATGAAAGACAGGTTTCACAGAGGTGGATAAACTTCTGTATATGTTGCTGAATTGCATATTTGGTGTCTCACATTATTTGTTGTTAATATATACTAAGTTATTTCAAGACTACTCCCTTCTGATTTAAAGTGAGATAAAAAAGAGTTGTACAGGAGACAATGCGCAAATTGGAACAGAAATTCAAGATTATCTTCATCTGATTAGCTGCAGATAGCTTCCAGTATACTTTCTTATGCTGCATTATATACATTTATTCTGTCTAAAATGTATACTATTAAGTGCTGCTATTTATATATACATTTCAGCAAAAGAAAAGGGTGAGAAGAAGTTGTTTGGCTTTTCTTTCGTGCCCCTGATGCAGGAAAATGGGAGGACTCTGCCAGATGGCACCCATGAACTGATTGTACACAAGGTAAATTTAATTAGCAGTCATTACCTGTAATGATTCCTCTGGAACAGACTTTAAATGCCCAGAGACAAGCTGAGAAAGTCTGTATTGATTAGCAATAGTGATAATATTGTCACCATTCAAATATCCATTGCTGATTGTTTCATATTAACCTTCCTGATATAAATTGCAATTGAATCTACGATGATGTGTTGTAATGAACTGCACAAAGGTAAGTTCAGTTAAAACTCACGAAGGGAACCACATGATCCCCTCTTCCTGAATTCCTCAGGTTGGTAAATCGGACARGCTCATTTTTGCAGATCTATTCAATATTATAATTTTTAGAGATATTTTAACTTTGTGGAGCTCTTTTTTCCACATATAACAGCTGTCTCCTTCTTCAGAGGATAAAGTTTAGATTTCAACACAAAAATTTGTAGCTAATTATTTCATGTAACCTGTGCAAATCTGTTAGATTTCAATGTYAGTATATGATGCTATGTTCTAAAACCAAAATTGCAACAGACATAGCGGGAATTCTTCTGTTTCTGGCAGGGAAACAATGATTCMTATAATTTAGAGATTTGGTCAATTGTTTTGTGCAGTACAGCTGTTTTAACTGGTTTGTTTTCACAGTGTGAAGAAAATGCAAACCTTCAGGATTCTGGTCGCTACCTCAAACTGCCCTTTTCAAAGGGAATATCCCTAGGAAACAACAGCCAAGCAGTAAAAACCACTAAAGAGTCCTTCTGGATWACATCCTTCCTCTGCTCCACTAAACTCACACAAAATGGTAGGATATGTTGATTATTTGAAACATGATGAGTTGAAATGAGTGTGGTAGCTTGCCTTTTCCATGCCCAGCAAGCATGGATGTACTCAAAAATAGCTTATGTTCTGTTTTATAAACTGGTTTTCTTTTTTTTTCTTTTTTTTTTTTTTAATATCCAGAAGGAAACAAATGCAGCRTGATAAACCATTGTTTTTAAGTAGGTCAAGAATGCTTTTAAGATGACCATGATATTGGAATTACATGCAGCACTTCTGGAATCAACTGTCAAAACCCAGCTGCTTTACAAAACCTCCTAATCTGTTTGTTGTAGAGTTTTTATGAAATACTTACTGTCTGCTTTAGGCTGYAGCAGTTTGTTTCTAATTAGGCATGTGCTGCTTTTTTGTTTCTCTTCAAACCAACAAACATTTATTACTGCTTAAAACAATCTTATTCACTGGCTATAAGGAGCAGCAGATAGAATTACATGTGTTTACATTCTCTACCAGTGCTCTGTGTAAAATTCATAGCCAGTRTTCTGCATAATAAGGTTCTTATTTACTTGCCATAATAATTACGGTTTGTAACTRAAACAAAAAGCTGTGGAACAGTTTTCCAAAAATTTCTAAATATTGTGTTTTTGCTTGGTAGTATGTTTCTGACCATTCTTTGATAGACCCACAATTGTACATTATTGCTTTGCTCTCTCTTATGTGTGAATATCTGTGACGTAGTCCATCTTCTGTGTATGATGATAAAATTGCTAATTGCTTGCAAATTTATTATAGATGTTTAACAAGAACTAGAGCAGCTTTTTTAATTGAAATAATCCTCTTAATTTGYACCCTTTTATAGCAAGTGTCCAAAATAGAACTGTGTGCAAACAGTAAGTGGGTTGTTTCCTTGTGCACATCCATTTTCTATTGTCAGAGCAATTACCTTAGTAATGAAAGTTACCCAATGAAAGGTTTTCCCAAAGGTAGCTAATAGGGAATTGGAGACTAAATTTGCTTCAGTTAAAGGCCTTGATTTAGGAAATCACATGAATCTACTGGTACTAACACACACATAAAAGTGCTGCCTGGAGCTTAAATGTCTCACTGAAAAATAGTTGCCCTATTGTCTGGGGTTCTCATACTAATTTTTGTTTACAGTACAGTACTTTGTACTTAACGTAAGTAGATGTGTGACAGGGCATAAAATTTCCTCCTTTCTTTTTTTAAACCATATTCTGAGTAAGAGGGTATAGAATATCTGAATAATATTGATCCCCTTTTCAGCTCTGAAAGAGTTAATTATTTCAGCAGTACTTCAGAGGGTGGAAATATTTTCAATAGACAGGCTCATATTTTCTCCAAGGATCTTCTTTGGGAAGTTCATCTTGGTGAGTTTCCAAATCCCCATTCTTTTAAACAAAAATTTACAAAAATTTATTGCATGCTCAGAAAATGAACATAGAGCAAAGCATGTGGATATTTGGTCATGTGAGCATTACTTCAGTTATCCCTGAGAGAATGTAGCTTATGTATTTAAAATAGAGGATTAAAAAGATCTGTTTATTTAACTTTTTTAATAAACATTTGTATTGGTATTTTTTAAAATTGCTGATTATTTTTTAATTTGTTTTTAAGTTTGGAGATTTTTCTGAATGTCTCAGAGATTCAGATTGGCAACAATGTCCAGTCTGAAAACGAATTGAAAATTAGTCTGTCTCTGGGGTGGGGAAGGACCCCAAACCCAGACTTTTAAAGGGTGTGACTGAACTATTCTGCAGCTTTACTCGCGTGCTGGGAAGTTTTACTCAGCTGTCATTCTCTCACTGATTGYTCCCACATGCCATCAGCTCTCATGCATATTAAAATTATGGGGACTGGGGGACAGAGGCTGACTCSTAGTTGTTGCGTTCCGTAACTTCCTTACCCTGGGTACTTTGGAGGGGTTATTAGGATTATTTCCAAACAATTTTTAGAGACCTTCTAACCAGGGGACTCTGCGTTCATCATGGCTAAGAACATGTCCTTATCTAATCTATTAGTTAGTTTTTCCTTCACTTTTCCTTTGGATCCTGCATAGTTTATCAGTTAGTATTTGCAAAAAAAAAAGTATACCAGCTTTTATCTATTATATTCTTAGATGTGTAGTTATTTTTCATCACTCAGTTTTTGTCATATAGGAGGGATCTCTGACTGAAAGAGATTCAGGATCTTTCCAGTATATCAGAATATTTTAACATTTTGGCATTCACTCGTTTCTCAGCGCTGATTGGTGCATCCCTGGTCAGCAGCAGGGCAGCATGCCATACAGCATGGCACAGGTGTGATCCTTCTAGCTGCATTTAAAAAAAACAAACCAGTGAATCAATCAAACAAAAGTAGGGCAGCTTTCCTAATAACCCCAGTTTGGAGGAAGTGGTGGTGACCACAGAAGCAGCCTGTTAGAAGAAGCATGCTGACTGCCAGTTCTGGAATTCAGTTCTTTCTTCCTGAAGTGTACTAGTGTCACAACAAGCCAATTTCTGATGTCTCAGGATTTATATGAGAGAGATGGAAAATCATTCCAAACCACTTCCTTAAACACGTGCTTCTAAATCTTCTGTTAAACCTAGCACTTTGGATTTAAGTTACATACTTTGAGAAGAGTTGTGTTTTATTTGGTAGGGATAATAGATCAGGTGTAGTCTCTTTTATATATGCAGACCTTGATTATTTTTAAGAGAATGCATTGGAAATACTTTTTTGCTTCAGCAAAATTAATCATCAGAAGTGACTTTTTYCCTTTTCCAAAACTATGGTATCCTAGTGGACCTATTCCTGGGGACATTTTTATGTTCTCACATTTCTTACTACATGACACACTGCTATCCGTTCCCCTTGTGATTCACTTGTCAGATTTTCTATTCGTGTCATTTATGCTTGGGCTATTTTCTAATGTTATCTTAGCAGTGTCTTTCCTCCTTAGCACTTCCCTTGAAATAAGTCCTTTGAAGTGAGTGTCTTACATTTGCTTTCTTTTTCTTTTTAAATCCCCCAACAAATCCCTAATATTGAGTGTCAACTATTTTCCACTGAGTTCCTCCAGCAAACCTGTGAAGAAGTGTTTTCCTGCTCTGAACTGACAGCTTCAGCTAGTCTCGCTGCTTGTCAACTTGAGCTGAGGCTTAGACAGAGGAAAGTGTACAAGTGCATTTAATTGTCCAAAAGACAAATGTGCAGCTGACTGGATTTGTAAATCTTGTTTCCTTAAAATTCTTGACAGAAAAAATAATAAGGCCTATCATTTGTCCTTGATCTTTGGGATGTGTCTGATGCATGTGTGGGACTCTTCGTCATTCAGTGCATCTCAGGAATCTCTTTTTTCCATGCCAGCACAGCTTGAAGCAAAACAAAAATGTAACACATAAATGCATCAAAATTATTGGTGCCCATCAAAAGCAATTAAGGCCRCAAAATATTTGTAAAATCTTATGTTGATTGTTTGCCATTAACACCCATGGCAAAATCTGAAATACAGGTGAAGATTTATTTAATGTTAATAAAGTAAAAATTATTACTTCAGTTTTTGTGGGATAGAGGAACTTCCCTGGAGCAAACCAGGAAAGAGATGATGCAAAGATGGGTGTTGCTCAAGTATTACTCGAGTGTGAAAACAGTCTGTGGTAGGAAGCAGCCAAAAAGATGCTGAAACAGGAGGAAAACTTGCTACTAAAAGTTTATTAACTACTGAGAACACTCCAGAAACACCAGGTCCTTCTACCACAATGCTGGGCAATGATCAGCTAGACTGTAGTTCAGGTTAAACTGATGGAAGGGTTGGATGGTGATTAAGRTTTTTGCTTCAAACCACCAGGCACTGAGAATTTCGGAAAAGCTGGTCAGTGAAGCGTGGAAGTAGTAAACTTGAATATAAAGAGGCTTTGGGATTTATTTAATTCAACAGTTAAAAAATATGTGTAGCTTTTACTGAATACAACTTGAAGAGAGCACTGCAGATGTGTCTGAGTTCAGCAAGGAAAAACTGCTGAGAAGCCAAGCCAAGTTTGCAAAATTATTTTAGGATATTAAATGGTTTGGAACAAGAGATTCTCAATCTTATATAAGTAAGGTGGGCTTTTTAACACATCTCTGAAGCAGTAGCATATGTCCAAAAACTATTAAATGTAGAACATAGATTTATGACAGGTGGAAGAGTGGATATTAACTGGGCCATAACCCCTGATGAATTTTATGCAAATATTTACAAGACATCATGAATGAAAAAACTGACATAACTGATTGGGATGTGCTGTAAGATGAGTTTATCAAAGACATATCATGCCAGAATAAACTTCTTAATCATTCTTTTCAATTTATTTTTAGTTATTATCAAGAGGAAATGCAACGGTTCAGTAATATACTGCATGGGAGAACATATAGATTAGAAACAAGAATTTTCAAACTGGCAAATAAAAGTTAAAATGGAACTGGCAGGTTGCACTGTAGTGGAAGGAACTTAATTTCTGAGCATAATAGATGTGAGGAAATCTCTGGGATTTATCTCTTGTTTTAAAGGATTGGAAGGGTGTGGGGTTGAGAATAACTTCACTAAAATCTGAGACAGTTTTCTGCTAATACATTGTTGAAAGTTTTTATCAGGTGAGAAGGACAAAATCAAAATATGATACAGCAAAACACTGTAATAATTATTGATTAAATAGTTTAATATTTAAATAGTAAAAAAAAAATAATAGAAATTAGAATGAATCTAATGGTAGAAAAGGCAGAATATGCTAATGGAGACTCCTGGGGATTCTGCTATACCCAGGGAGCTGCATAGTATTAGACAGGAGAAACATCACAGTGGTGACAAAAATATGTGTATCTAAGAGCCTCAAATTCCAGGACACAGATGTCAAGTGTTTACAACAGTTTGCTAATGATGTAGAAAACAGTGATGTCATCTTATCTGTAATGTCGTTATCACTTTGGCTAAGAAAGCTGAAGGAGAATTAATTAAAACTGGAAGAAGTTTGGACACACTCTGGTATCTTTCAGCTCAGAATAGTTTATTTTCCAGAAGAGATTGTTTTGCCTGTTAATAGAGCAGGATCTTAGAGGAATTTTGTGTTCTCTAAAAAGATGTAGGAACATGAACATTTCAAACATATTCAAGGTAGTAATTAGGAAAGTTTTCTAACTGTCAGTAATTCTGGAAGGAATTCTTCAATGGGATGAGAGAGGGCAAAATAATTGCTTTTCTTAAGGTAGTATCTGAATGAGATTGTGTCACAGAGTTGCCGCAGGAGACTGATTTTAGTGACCCAGTACCATCCAGTTCTTATGTTTGTATTGATGGAGCAGTTACAGAATGCAATGAAAATTTGTTGTTGGGAATATCATATTATGACAAATCTGGAGTTTCTTTTGTTTTAATGATGCCAAATTTTTCTGTGTGGACTGTAAAAAATCTGAACTGCTGCTTTGTTTCCAACTTTAATCTTGCATTTTGTTTTTGCAGGAGATATGCTTGACCTTCTGAAGTGGAGAACCCACCCAGACAAAATTGCAGGTTGCCTCTCAAAATTGAAAGAAATTGATGGTTCAGAAATAGTGAAGGTATATATATCTTTTTATACTTTTAGATAGTATGAAGGAAATAATGTATTTCTATGTCACAGAAATATCTTTTTAATAACACTGTTTCTTATTCTCTCCCATCAGTTTCTTCAAGATACACTCGACACTTTATTTGGAATTTTAGATGAAAATGCTCAAAAATATGGATCAAAAGTATTTGATTGCTTGGTAAGCTTCATTTTTTGATGATACTTAACACTARTTAAAACCAAAGTAAAATGAAAAAAAAGTGTTGGTTTGTTTTCCTTTTCTCTCACATTTAGGTTCACATAATAAATTTGCTGCAGGACAGCAAATTTCACCACTTTAAGCCAGTAATGGACACCTACATTGAAAGTCATTTTGCAGGAGCACTTGCATACAGGTGAAGTCTGTACTTTTTCTACCTTATTTAATACTGACACCTGTTACTAAACTAAGAGAATCAATCATAGGTTAAAGAAACAGTGTATCCCTGATGTTTAAATCATTCTACTGCATATTTAATGCTGGTATTGCCCATTCATCCGAGATCTACTAGGTGCCCTTCAGCAGACTGAAAACTAAGTGTAATTTTGGGCCTGTGGTCATCAGCAAAATCTAGTCATATATTTTTTCATTTTGTCACTGTTTCTCCTATGACAGCTATTGTTTTGCGTTTTCTGYGCAAAATTAACCCTTCTCCCACTTCTGTGTTGTAATACTTTCTGATGTGCTATTTTAGAGATCTTATAAAAGTACTGAAGTGGCACATTGATCGAGTCACTGAGGTGGAGCTTCATGAGCACATACAGGAGGTACTAAAGGTAATAAAAATTGTCCAAGACAATTATATATTTGAATGATGTATTTATACAGTACCCACAGGTTTAACCTAGGAAATGAAGCAGGATATATATAAATGATATTTTACTGATTAGGGTGGTTGTGGTTGTTCTTKTTGCCCTGGTTTGTACCAGCAGCAGAGCACAACATGTGTAACTCAGGCTGAGTTACACAACACAATAATCCCATTTGGGACAGGTGCTACCGTTCGAAATAAAATATCAGAGTGGTACCTTTCTGTATTTTTCCATGCTGCTGTGAACTTTGGTGTCTTGATAATAAGGAAGGGCTGTATTTTGAATTTGTTTTGCAACTTTATTTAAGCTTTTTTCTTTTTTCATGGGGGTTAGAGGAGAGACTGGTGTTGAGATTCTGCTTGTTTGTTTYGGTTTGGGTTTTTTATTAAAATGTTAAGTGTTTCAATAGCAAGATATGTCAAAATTAAGTAATGTGGTCCTGTTTCAGACCCTTTTCTTTATTYGAATGATACAATCATTGCATTTGTTCTATTTAGAGATGAGCATATTCGTTTCTGTGAGTTATTTCTGCTTTTGGCACTTACAGGCACAGGAATATATCTTCAAATACATCGTTCAGTCTCGAAGATTATTCTCTATTGCAACTGGTGGACAAAACGAGGAGGAATTCCGYTGCTGTATTCAAGAGCTTCTTATGTCAGTGCGCTTCTTCCTTTCTCAAGAGAGCAAAGGAACAAGTGCTTTATCCCAACTACAGGTGAGTTTTCAAGTGTGCCTTGCTTGTTGACATTTTCCACATCCCGTATAAAAAAAAAGTGTGACTGTTAAAAAAAAAAAAAAATGTATGTTTGCTAGGCAAAGTGGCATTTTCAACTTTACATCTTATGTTGTGAAGTTTTCATGCCAGCAGCTTCTAAATATGCTTGGAATAGATAATCCTAAACCTGATATTTTATTTTTAATGATAATGATTATATTGATGGATACAAAAAAGCAGTTTTCTCTGTTTTGGGCATTTTACAGTTTTGTTTAACCACATTGACACTGATGAATTTGAGCCATACAAAAGACTATCTGAGTTTCCATGCTTTACAGAAAATTTTTAAGTCTTGATGAACCATATGGTTTAATATTCAGCTGACAGCTTTATTTCATTTGAGACTACTAAAATTGGCTTGTGGTAACGTACAGGGGCAAAACACACAGGAGACAGCCYTCTATATTAAGTTCTCATAAATATACCATCCTCTCCCCATGTTTCTGTAACCAAAGGTGATCAAGGTTGTGTTAAGAATGAACGTTYGAAACCTCTTTAGAAAACTGTTCTGCCAAGAAAATGGAAAATCAGGGAGAACAGCATAGATACGTAGTTCTTTCATCCTGTATGGTATAAGCAGCTGGAGTGAAAAGACAACAACAAAATGGTATTAATAACCACATTTAGAATTCTTTTTCTGTATTTTTAACTCACATTAGTGTGTTCTGCTGCTGGTGTGAGTGTCTAAGTAGCTTTTCACAATCAGCAGGATTTAGAGAAGGGAATGTCARTTTTAGCTTCTTTTCTCTGGCATTGTCCTCATTACTTTTACAGCGTTTTGTTTTCATATTCTTCAATGACTTTCTAACCCTCTTTAAAGATATTTTTAAGGGAGCCAAGACTACCAGTGCTGCCTCACTACAAAATAGAAGCGTTCATTATTTGAAAAATTGAAGATACAGAGGCTGTTGCATTACTTAAAACAAAGTAAAAAAAAACAACTCCACACAGATATTTTTGGCATTGTATCAGCTATATTCTGCCATCATTTAAAAAATTTCGTCTTGCAGAGACATAAGTCTATTTAGAGAATAAATGTATTTTTCTAAGTTGAACTTTTATTTTCACTTTGTCCCAGGAGAAATTAACAATCTTTAGATACAATTTAAAGGAAATAGTCATAAGTATAAGCCAGTTAAAAAATGTTGAGGTTATTTCATGTGAAAATAAGACAGGTTTTTAAGCTACTACCTGCCCTCGAAACCAGGCATTTTTCTACAGTTACTGAAATTTCTAGAGTTACTTAAATTCTATAAATGCCAAAACTCTTCTGACCATCCATTTTTGCCCTGTTTCTGTAGGCTGTATTTCTCAGCTCATTCCCATCGGTGTACTCTGAACTTTTGAAGCTCTTTGATGTGAGAGAAGTGGCCAATCTGGTTCATGATGCTTTGGGCAGCCTGCCAACAGTCATGCACGGGGATGAGTCCCTTCAAGCTGTTAAACTGCAGAGCATTGGGAAAACTGTGGAGAGTCACCTGTACACTAACCCAGGTAAGGTTGCTTTGGGCTGCCTGCAGATCAGGAAATCAAATTGTGTGCTTTGTACCTGGGCCAGCAGGTGCTGAAGGGAGTTGTGTTCCCAAGGAACACTTCTGGAATCTCAGTTCTGTATAAACTGCTTACTTACAAGAATATGGTGGTATGTTTTACAGAGGCAAAGATTCTTAAAATATTGGGTTTTTTTTACCTACTGGCAATATGTTTGTGAAAGAAGTTGGCCTTACACTTCTGAAATAATTACAAAGAAAAACCTTTGCTAGAATTATTTTTCTTCYTTTTTCTTCTTCGGGGGCAGTTCAGCAAACAGACTCTCACTTATCTGTTCASTCTTATTTATGTAGCTCTCGCTATTTCAGCACTTTGGATCCTCCATTTCCTAATGTAGCATAAAAATACTATACAAATGTGAGTGATACCTGGTGCATGAAGTATATAACAGCATAATTATTTGCTGTGCAGAAGAAAAAAATGCTGAATGGTGGTGAGCCCAACATTCTTGGTTTCTATTCTAAGTGAAACTCATAGATGTAACCAAGTATTAAATTTGAGATCAAGTAATTTTGAAATAAAATCATTAAAATAGAAGAAAGATATTTAAAGAATTCTAGTAAGAGTTTATTTACTCAACAATAGCCCTGAGAACTACTTGGGTATTGGAGGATGGAGTTTATTTGGAAGTAAGTTTTATCATCTAAAACATTCGAGGTAAACACATTGCAATGATGAAAGCTCTGGAAAAATGATCAGGATATGCATAAATACTTTGGATTACTGCAAAATAGAGTTCTTTGAGCATATTTTTTTAAAAAAACTTTCAGTGATTCCACGTTATAAATATGAGCTGAAAGAAATAGGTAAGAAGTGCTGCATCCTGGCCAATTGGCTTCATTCTGGCTGTGAGCACAGCTGACCCTTCCCTTGGGAGCCCCCACAGCGTTCCCTGCAGAGCAGTCAGCTCCCCCTGCAGCTGATGGTCAGACCTTCCATCTCTGGCCAGATGATGACATATTCATGGAGCAGTATTAAGGAWGTTCTCACTTAGGTTTTTCATTTTCCAGCTGCCTAGGGATCAGGTAGCATCATTGCCATTTTCTTCCCTTCATCTCAGTTAGGTCAGCCTAACCAGGCAATCCAAATATATGGACTTAATCAGAGTCATTTAATGCCATGAAAGGGACTCTTAGGGACTTTCTTGGAACTGTAAATCTACTTGCAATTGTATGACAACTTTTTTATATCTACTTCCTTTCATAAAAAGATCAGGTTTTTATTCAAATCCATTTTCATTATTAAGATGGTTTGGGTTTAAAAGCAATGAAAATTCCATGTTAAAGTTTACATGGAGTGTGGGTTGCACACACATAAAATATAAATTTCTTAGACCACAGGGAAGCAGATATAAAAAACATCAGGCAGTAATATGAGCTCCCAATGTCCATGGTAGGAAGCTCAGCCAAACACTTGAAGAGTATAATTTTGGTCATCATTAAGTTGAAGGGTTGTGGAGATCAGCATCTTGGTCTCTTTGCCATGATTGTTTCATCACTTTAAAATACACAAATGAAAGYAGACTTTCCCTCAGAAGGAAGTCCTATTAAAACCCTCTTTGGAAAATAAATATTGCACTGTATAATGTTWATGTGTAGAGTAAACTGTACATCTTAATAGGAAGTTGAGGCTTGCTGCTGTGAAAAGAATTGATTTCTGTCTCCCAGAAGAAGATAATGAATGCTRCAAGCCACAGTGCTAGCTAGAACACTGAAAGTAGGAGGAACATAGGAAATAACTGTTTATTCAGACATCTGAAAAATGAGGARGGATTTCTTAGACAACACTTTCAGTTATCTGGAGCTTACTTTGAAACAAGTGAGCGTAGTTGAGCGTGAGAGTTTTACACATCTTGTGCTGCAAGGGCCTGAACAACTGACACATTAGCTCCCACAGCTGAGAAATCAGCTGACACTAAAGCTTCTCTCACTAAAATTCAGAGATGTGTYTGAATCTGTTGAAAACAGAAACAGCAGGCATGCAGGGGTTGATTTAAGGTGCCCACACACAGATTTCCAGTACAATTTCACATATATTTGTTATAGCTGATCTCTGCCTGCCGCTCTAGAGAATGGAAGTTATCTATTTGATCATGTGTAGATAGGGTGCTTGAAATGGATCAGTATTGAGGTTTGTGTATAGTTTGCTTCAAACCATTTTCTTTTTCAACAATGTTAAACTTCAGCTCTTCCTATAAATAAGAGGTACAGGGTTGTTAAAAGGTGTCAACAGCAGTTACCTGCCTTGCTCTTGTGAAAAGTTAGTGGGTGTTAAGGTCTTACTTTCTTTTTATTTTTCTRTATTTACCTCTGCATCTTTGTTATACACTTCATTGGCTGTTTAAAAAGAAACAGATGACTTTTTTCCTGCCAATAAAGTCCATCAGTATTTTTTTCCTCTTGGCCTTTCTTCCAGCCTCTTGGGTATTCTGGTCTTTGGACTCATCCCTCTTGATAGTTGTAGAATGTCCAAACTGATGATCTACATGTGCTTGTAACGAGTGTGCTTGTAACATGTGCTTTGTTATTTCGCATACATCAGTAGTCTAGCAGGCTTATTTGCTTTCTTTTTTGCATTAAATATTATTATAGTTTCTTTGAGGAAGAGTTAAATCTGTTTTGCTGGGAAGAGTTAGGGCAAATAACAGAGAAACATACTTGGAACCATGTCCTTCTGACATGGTTAAACAAGAATTGGCAGCRCACCAATTGTTTTTTAATCTCAGGGCACTACTTTGAGCTTGCAAATTCAGTAGCTGTGAAAATGTGAGGTGTCTAAGTGAAACATCTAGGTTTTGTCTTCCAAAAAGGATGAACTTTATTGGAATCATCACTGATAAAACAGGTCAATTAGCAGTAGAGACATTATATTTGTAGGTAAAATCCTACAGAAAAGAAAACCTCATATTGATATAGAACCTGTATCTTAGCTAATTCACCAGTTGTGCTGCAGCTCTTTACCATATAAAACTATTGTTACATGGCATGAAACTCTGCTTTTCCAAAATGTGAGGATTTGGACTCTGTGGAAGGGTAGTTGCATAGGACTCTTCCTTTCAATGAAGCAAACTGYTCAAAGCAAATAGAAGAGAGGTTTAATCCTATGACCATTGACACCATATAGATACATCAGCTATGTTGAGAAGCTAGGAAAAATGCYAAGTTGATGCTTGATTTCATATGTTAATTTTAATGTGTTAATTTTTAATGTTTATTTTATATATAACTTTTTCTTGTATTGTTTCCCTTAATTACACTGAATCCCACAGTTAATGGATTAGAAATGTGTTAATTATCTGTTTTCCATCTGAGATTGACTGCTTCCCTCATTCTGTCTCTGTGAATGAGTTCATCTAAGAATTGCATTCTGTATATTGCAGAACAATATACATGTAGAAAACTTTGTTTCTGTAGTCATTAAGAGACAAATATCTGTCACAATCAGTAAGAAAAATTTACTATCTTTGGACTGCCTCGTGTAAAATAAATTTTTACRTGTTAGACTACCTATGGGAATGAAAAAAGTAATTAGCAAGTTCAGGAAATGATACCATTAACTGATAAGGAGGCTTAAATCTAGAATGTAGGTGTTATGATTTCCCTCTTATTCCATTGTTTTTCAAAAGACTCAAATCTTCTCATTAATGAGACTTGTAAGATATCTCAGTAATCACTGCAAGCTAATTGATAGCTATAAAAATGCAGAAAKCCTATCATTATTGACAGTGTTGATACAAATCCTGAATTCAGTTTACTTAAAATGCATTAAACTTTACATATTAAAACAGGTTTGAAAACAGACTAAATTTTTTCAAAACATAAAGGTTTTACACATTGATCCACACTACTTTTTTTAAGAGCTCCTTGATCTTTTTCAGATTAATCAGTATTGCTTAATTTGCCTTCCAAAGCAATGTTCTGTTCTTTGGCATTGTTTGTGTGTGCTTCTCTACACACCTGTGGGGGTATACAGATAGAGGTATATTACAAACAAAAGTTCAGTCTTTGCAAGTTAATATTTTGAYCATTGACTTCTTTTTAGTTTGAGGGAGGACGTCCCGAGCTATGCCTGTGTTTTCCTTCTGTACTACAGTCAGTTTTTTTTCTTTTGGCTGAAACCAGTTGCTCTCTACAAGTTTTGAGTTAGTTTCCCTATTCWCTGTTCTGAGAAAAGTGACATGAGCATGCTCTCACAGAACAGGCATATATGTTTGAGTTTGGAATTGCAGTGATAGTTGCTTTTTTGGCTTATGCATTTTCTTCTCCAGCCGTACTTAAGTCCAGTATTTCATCCAAACAAAGAGACATAAATTGGTCAGGTAAAATTAGCAAAACCATGAGCAACTTCCTTGTTTCTTACTGTTCAAGGAGAATGCTGTTTATTTGTCTAAAATGTTCCATTGTACTAATTTTTTTCCAAGCAAGCTGAAGTTTTGACCATCTGTTCAGCTATARTAATTGAAATGACTATCATCTTTCAGAAAGTAATCTTTTAATATCACTAGACCAGAGAATGTCTCTGTAGATGCTTTACAACTATATGGAAATCAAGGAGAAAAGTTGTGCTGTGTGTAAAATATTAATGTTGCATAGGAAAGTCACAAGGATTGCCCAGAGTCTAAGATTGCCCTCTTTCTAATTAAGCCAASCACGTACTTGAAAAGCTCTGTGTCATGTTTTTTTTCTTGTCTTTCTGTATATTTGTAAAGGGCAAGTATTAGCATTTTAAACAGTCAGCTAGTTTGACTCCTGCRTAGAAGAAAAATTAGGACAGTGACTGATGGCTGAGACTTCTGATTATTACACCATTCCTTGCACTCATTAATATTTCTATATCCAATGGTGTGCATTGCAGCTGACAATTAGTAAGAAAAAGAGTAACATGAGAYAAATATTCTCCAAACTTTCTCACCTAGTCCTTGGTTTGCATCAGAGGTGAATGAACCAGCTCTCCTCTTCTGTAATACCACTGCATCTGTCCACTTGAACAGATCAAGACAGAGGGATATTTCGATTCTGGACTTGTATGGAATGTATCTAAAGCTGTGTTATATGTGGTGGTTGTGGCACTGTTGCCTCCCATGAATGGTTGCAAGTCATTGGAAAATGCTTTTTGCTAATCCATTTGGTCAGGTAAAACAAAGTTTCTGATTATTTTATGAAGCTGTTTTAAAAATGGGGTACTTGAAACAGTTGAACAGGGTTGCTCAGCTTTGCCTAGGATGCCTCATGCCACATCCTATGTTATAATTGGCTGTTTTACAAGTCACATGTTGCTACATGATTTTTGGTCTTCAAAGCAAAATTCATGGTGCTGCACTTACTGTAAGCAGTGCACAGAGTAGGGGACACCTGCGGTGAGGTTCTGAATGCTGTGTGGGCTCATCAGGAAGCTGTCTAAAGTTAACCAAGAAGAAACACCTTGGCACAGGACTGCTCCAGGTTTCTTCTCACCATCTAGGCTGAGGGATTTGACTTACAGCTGCAAGAGAGGACTTATGGCTCTATAATGCTCAAAACATGAAATATGTGAAAGAGCCACTATTACTGCTCTGTCATTATTGTGGAGTTTAGTAGTGATTGGGTTGAGTTTTCTACTGCCTGCCATGAAAGTACCCCAACCACGGAGTCCCAGGCTGGTTTACACCGTGAGCCTTTCATCTTGTCTCTTGACGATGGATTGTAAGATTGTCAAGAATTCAATACGTGTAAGGCCTGACAGAAAGCCGGGGAAAGGAGCCATTCCCAGTAATCTAGGAGTTAAGTGTTATGCAAATAGAAAAGTCCTACTTTATGCTTCAGCTGAAGGCATTGACTCTGTTTCTTTTTCCAGCAAGTTTAGCAGTGGGGATCAGAAGATGGCACTTTGCTAACCGCAGGACTGCACATTAGCCATTTCCCTGCCTGTTTTCCTTTTGACCCTAAAAGTCTTGCAGTGGATGGGTCAATGGAAGCTGTGCACACTTGACATCTCAGAATACCTGGGGCAGCACTTGGCTAAGCTGTGGTTTTGAGGCAGAGAAAAAGATAATGCCATCTTGGTTTCGTTGAGAAACTTGTGTCTGTTGTGGTCCTACAGGCAGATGGGAGCTCTGAGGCCAATCCTGGTGAAAACCTTCTGAGGCAGTTGCAGAAATKAGCCAGTCACTGGAGAGAGGCTAATTTAACATGTTTACTGCCCCATGCTGGGTTTCTGTACCCCCGGTTATCAATTGTTGGATGGCCTTTGCCTACTGCCATACAGTCTTGGTTTATTATTTTCTTTAGTAGGAAGATACAGAGGAGCACATGAATATATAATAAGCATGAAACACCCATTTTAAAAGAGCAGGCAAGCTTTTATTTGAGAAATAAGAATATACTTAAATATTGTGTTCAAATCAGCTTGTCTATATGATTTGTCTTGTGTAATACAGATGACTAGACAATGAAAATAAGRGAATAATAAGGCATAACAAGATTAGTGCTGTATTTCAGTGAATGAAAGAAACATTAAACAAATAAAACCTCAGAAAAAGATCTATTTTCTTCTCCCTCATGGACAAAATAGAGGATGTAATCAAGGCGGGGGGGGAAAGTGTTTATAGAAAGTATAATCCACAAACAGTACCTGGTTGGCAAAATTATTTYAAAGGAGTAATTTTTTAGCTAGACAAATCAATGCTTAGGATAAAATTGCATTAATGAACAAAGGAACTGAGTAGATGAATATATTTCTATAATGCAGCTTATAATCATTAAAATTTTAATAGAGGAAATTATTCAAGTACATTTATATGAGAATATAATTTCTCAATTATGGAAAAGATTTTAAAACAGCAACCAAATTAAAACAGGTAAAATCCTTCMTATTTATCAAGTTGTGAATAGGTGTTTAATGTAATCCCAAGTATTAGTTTTAGGGTTCTTCCCTTTTAATATTATCTTTAATTGTAATAAAAAGAAGCAGAAGTAAGTAGCATGTGAATAATGTTCTTGYATAATTTTCAGAGAATTTAGGGCTGGAAATAGCACAAAAGAGCTGCTTTTATAAAATCAAATAGTGGAAAGACAAGCATTTTATGTAGACACAATTGCTCATACTCAGTAGGAGTATTCCTGAGGAATCTGGAAAAGTGAAATCTCTGAAAAGTGAAAATTCTGAAAGAAATCTGAAAATGCTGTTGGTCTGTAAAGCAGAACTTATTTGTAGGATATTGTAAGTTCCAGATGAAGTCTGTCATAACCTTGGCTTATAAACTGATTCTGTCACATGGCAGGAACACTAGAGCATTGTTTGTCATTGTTTTGAATACAAGTATTCCTGCTCCACTTTTTTTTTTTTTTGCATGACAGTTCAGTAAATAGTCAAAATTTTCTTTTCTATGTTGTACATTCCACACAGTGGTGTTTTTCCTCCATGCRCAGTACAACACAGTGACTTTCAGCRTATTGTTTACTTTTCAAACATTTGCTTATGATTAAGTAAAAGCTTCTACTTATCAAAAATGTTAGTTAAAGCAAACAAAACMTTCTGCTTATCAGAAATAGTTTTGGACTGAAGGCACATTTTATATATGTATTAAAATTACATGACTATGAGAAGCTCCTGCTTATAAAGTTTTTCATTTTTTCCAGATTCTCGATGCATTCTTCTTCCAGTAGTTTTACATCATCTCCACATGCATCTACAAGAGCAGAAGGACCTTATCATGTGTGCCCGTATCCTTAGCAACATATTTTGCCTCATCAAGAAGAACAGCTCAGTGAGTAAACACCATGTCACATCCACTTGAACATCTTTATATGGCTCAATGACATTTAATGGCACGAGCTGGACCTTGCCCAAGAGCATTTTAAAGAGTTCTCTGTGTAATGAATCTGCATAAACATGTCATGTTGATTTTTTTCATGACCCTTTTCTTTCCATGCAAGAGTATATTAATTGTGTTGCATAGTGTTCTGACAAGCTTATACACTTGAGTGTTGTGCTGGAAAGAAAGAAATGTTTACTTATCTTTTAGGMGCATTTTCTGTTGTGGGTGTATTTTCTTAGGGGAAACAGGACTGATGTAGGTAAGCAGATCTATGTAAATATTGTAAGAGGCATTTTCCTTGGTTGTTAGTTGATAAACTTTGTGGCCAATTTCTGATGTTTGTATTTGTGAATTAATCTATGAAAGCTGTGTATGAGGCCATGCTTAGACAAGTGTATTGCAGATGTGAAGGTGATGAAAGGTTCTGAGAGACAACAGGATGTAGGACGATTAAAACCAAGCATTGCCTGTAATGAATGTAAGGCATGCATGTCAAGGCGAGCATACATTACCTTGTAACTCCTTTATGTGCTTCTTCATTTCATACCACTATTGGCAATTAAAGTTTTCCCATCAGTGATTTGGTGTGGATGTGGCTTGCACCTTTAGCACTATAACAACATGTTCATTCCAGCTGCTCCTGGATTAGTATAAAATTTCATCGCAAGATAAAGTGATTGACACTAAAGCAGAGCTGTGGTTTTGGACTGGGAGAAAGGCTTACATGTCTGGTCTGAATTGCAGATYTTCCTTTGGAGTCACCAAGCCAGAGATGTACACAATTACAAGTGRATATCGACATAAAACTCTCCCAAATGTCAGGATATGCAGCTACTATTTTTAGTAGTCTTTGAGTAATTGTGACTAGTAACAACTTAGTGACTTTGACATGATTTTTTGTATATCAGTGGAGAATTTCATTCCTTCCATTATAATCAAGATTATTTAGAGACTGAAGTGAATTTGCAGTAAGGCAGCTTTGAAAATTAAGGCTATTGGCAATTCTAAAAGTTATTTGTAGTAGTAAAGAGAAGAGTGCTCATGATGGATACAGTTCCTAAGTACTGTGTACTGTCCGTTTTCATAAATACCCAAGTTAACAGTTCTTTGATACTAGATGAAGTGACAGAGAAGACTAGATTCAACTGAAGTCCAAAAAGGAATTTTGAGTTTTCTTACAAATTACATGCTTTAGGTGTCCAGGAAGCAAAATTAAAACAAAAAAGGCCAAAACCACTCATACAYCTCAATGTCAGCAAAATTGATCTGTTTGTTTGCCAGTTCAGTTTTAGCTTGGCTGTGTGCATTTGATTAAGAAGTGTTTCTTTCTGTGAAAAAGTGTCATGTTAAATAATTTATAAAATCGCTCAGATTAAGATGGTGATTTCTGCTTGCAGTTGAGATTTAAAGCAGTCTTGAAGGAGGGAAAACATATTTCCATCTGAATTAAAAAGGATAATTAACTACAGCATGACTTTATCAGGTGTTTTCATGCTGGTAACTATGGTGTTCGTGGACTGTTCTGGCCGTGAACACTTTGATTCCTTTATATTGATATTGCATACAAGCAGTTGTAGGCTTACATAAACTACTAATAAGTCACTTAGATGGTCCTYACTGATGAAGCAGGTCCTGAAAGTTGAGCACCATCTACTTGTTTCTGGTGATAGTTTCAAGGTGTGAAACAGGAAATTCTGCTTTTTGGATTTTAAGCCTTTCTTTGCAATTTCCCCAGAAGATATGTGGGTGTTACCTATAAAATCTTGCCTGAAAAGTTTTTGTGTGTTATTTACTGCATTCTTCTAAACATTGATTGAAAATAGAGCTGTGCTAATTTGATGAATACTTACACAAAGTCATGCCTGTAACTGCCCTTGGTAATGTAATTAATTGAAAACTGTTCGGAAAAGTAAGCAGAATTAAACAATATCTGAATTAGAAAATAGTCCTTGTTTCTTGAATGAACTGTAATTTGTTTCTAAAGCTACACTGAAGGAATTATGCCTGTGGCCATATTTCTRTTTTAAAATATTAAATGATTTGTTTATTATTTAAGGAAAAATCAGTCCTGGAAGAAATTGATGTGATTGTAAACAGTCTGCTGGATATTCTGTTAAGGACTATACTGGAGATCACCAGCCGACCACAACCAGCAGGCTCTGCTCTGCGCCTCCAGTTCCAAGATGTGACTGTAAGTTTCTTGCAATGAAATAGCTCACAATTCTCACTGGTTGGACTATTAGATTTGTGAATATATTGTCTTTATATTGTAATTGACAGTGTTAAGAGTTTTTGTATAAAAGAGAGAATAAGGAGGACAATAAAAACCTTTCCTGCATTCTTTAGTGTAAATAGTAATTTTTTTTCATTAAGTTTATTTATAGATTGCGGCCCAAAGAAAACAAAACAAAGCCAAAAAAAMCCCCCAAACCCAAACAAAAAACAACCAAACCCAAAAGATACAATTTCTTTTGAGACTTTCAGGTTAGCAATTATTTCAGTATGTTCCTTTTGTTGGCAATGTAATAGTTTTCTACAACTCTCCTTAGGTCTGAATTCCTGAAAATAGAAGAGTATTAATCAATAACAGTTCCTAAAATGCATACATTTTTTCATGATGAAACAACTCTAAAGATGTCTGCAGAATCTGTGATAAGTTGTACTAATCTAAACTTATTACTTGAGAGGCATTTTGTTGCTTTTGGGCTGAACATTTGAGCTTTGTTTCTGTCACATGAAGCTGAGCRTACAGGATAGATTTAGAAGATTATCAAATGATGTTTTGATGAACCTGCTATAACAACTCTTGGAAATTGGAAGGTTGAAATACAGGCATTTACAGTAGTCTGTGATGGACATTGTTCAAATAAAATGGAGTGTTATTTTGCTTTGTTTGCAGCAAGGTTTTCACTTTGCTTTTCAAGGGCAAATTGGTTCTAATATAGCCAGGGATGTGACCCCAGTAAGATGTTTGTGCAGAAAACATACTATGCTGGGTAATTTTTTTGTGCAGAAAGCATACTATGCTGGGTAATTTGCCATGTCATTGTACATTTGATTTATTAATTGCCCAGTGTTTTCACTGTAACCGTTTTTGTTAATGAAGAGGTGGTTGCTTTTCAAACCAGAATTTCCTCTGAGATCAAACATTCCAAAACGATTTAATAGCTGCTGAAAAAAAGGTGTTGTCAGGGTTTTTTTGCTTGTTTTCTTTTTTACTTTAGACCCACAGAGGGCGAGCTGTATATGGAGTGTTTTATGGAGCTGACCAAGCTCTGTAATAAGATAACATCATGCTTTAATCTTTGTGATTCAACAGCAATATACTGTTGAATATATATATGTTGAATATAAATATAATATCTAAGAGTTTGGTTCTTTTTTTCTTTAAATTACAAAATTAGAAACGTGTGCTGTGTGGCATATCAAGCCACCACAAGAAATTCCAAGCTGAAGAAAGGGTGGTAGTGTTAGACTGTTATTTTTGCAAAGCTCTGATCTTATTGGTTTCTTATGAGAGATCCACTTGCCTGCAGATTAAGTTTTCATTAAACACCATGACARCCTAATTCTTTTGCACCATCAAAAAATTAGGGTCTGAAAGTGCTTTCAGGTTGCAGAATTTTCTTTTGTGCATCAGAAAAGCCTTGTTATTGTCACTGCAGGCTCCCAAAGAATACTTAATGTGGAAGTGACTCAGAGCACRGCATAAGGCAGTTATATACATTTATGTAGAAATATCATGCASTATGGGCTTCTGGCAGCACATGGAGCCAGATTCTTGGAACTGTTTGTAGAACACATATGATAAAGTACTCAATGTGAGTACAGCAGTTGAATCTGCTCAGTATGTCATCATTATTGCAAACTGCATGTGGCATAAAAAAATTCTTTGTGAGATTTACCATGGAGCACACTTGATAAAATTCTGCCATAGTTTCGAATCAGACRTAGTCTACCTTGTGGGAGTAGTCCCAAACCCATCTCAGTGTGACCTCCTAGGCCCATGTATCACTGTTTTTCTTCACTAAGAAACAGAATCAAATCAGGCAGCACTGGGCTTTGTGCTGCCGTGACTGTGCCATTCCATTTGATTTCCAGTGGGCAGTCCTGTTAGATGGTAACCTGCAAGATGGGTGTGATGCTTTAAACTGAGCACAAAGAAGATGTGGCTCCAGGGTGTCAGCATTACAGATGTTGCATTGAAAAACATGGAATTTAATGCAATGGTGAAAGGGAAATTTCTGCTTTAGTTTGTCACTGAATTAGACCTTTAGACTTCCTAAGAAAAAAATGCATTTGCATGTAAAGAGTTGGCAGAAAGCAGTCCAATTAAAGTGAACTTTAATTGATTTCGGATCTTGAAAGTTCAGTCCCTCAGAACCTAAATGAACTGCAGTTTAATTGAAAGCTCCGTGTTTTTTGATAATTGTGCTCCTTAAATAAGGCACAAAAAATTACTTAAGAAATCTCTTTAAGTGATTTTAGTATACTGCTTGGTTAGACATTTGACAGTGGAATTGGACCCTAAATGTTTTTTATCAAGGTTGTTATGTTGTAAAATTTGCTTTTGTGCATGATTTGAAAGTTTATCTGYGGCCAACACTGGCAGAAATCCTACAATATACATTTTCATGTTGAGTTCAACAAATGAAGCTGAAAGTTYATTGCTGTTTTAAAAACCAGCCGGTATAGCTACCTACATTCAAATTAAAAGCTCAGATGTAGAAGTCTGTTAACAATTATCTAAAGCTGATACTTTTATAACGCTGATCTGTCTGTCAGCTAGAACAGTACAGCTCTCTGTAATGGGATGTGATTTTTAATACACTACTRTGTAAGTTGAAACAAATGTGGGAACATAGAAGAAARGTGACTAAAAACAACTGCTTAAAATACCTAGGCAGGAAAGGAATTTTGTCACTCAAGCTAGCAATTGGGTACACAGATATTTACAAGACAGCAGCTGTGACCTTTATGTTTATGCCCAGAGCATGAATATTAAGAGATTTTATAGCCTTAGGATATTGTTTTGAGATTGTGATTCTATGTTTCTAGGAATGCTGTGTTCACTGTAAAACAAAGAGAAGTAATAAATTTAGAATCATTACTTTCAGGGTAGAATCTTATTATTATTTTATCACCATGTTGCCAGTGAAAGCCATCACCTGATCACATGATCCAGTGTACCAAGTAGAATCACAATTAGGCCTTCCAGTATAAAATGCAGAACAGCAACTCCTGTGAAAACATACTTCTTCTTTTATATCTTATTGTCTGTTTTTAATGAAAGATGGGATTCCTTCCAATCCCTCAATTCCAATCTTCCCAAAATTTGACTTGGTGAAYTAATGAAAGACACCATTTTAAAGCACTGCTGTYGCCTGTCTCTTCTCCCAGTCTCATTCTCCATTCCTGCTCCGGGCAGAAATGGCCATTTCTTAGCAAGCTTGTAAGATTTCAGAGTTGTTCTTTCTAAGCTCTGGGATGCTGTCAGACCTCTGAGTCTTTGCTGTCCTCATCCGTTCTGCAGTCAGACCTKACTGATATCATTCAGTGTTTCTTCTCAGTCTAAAAGTGAGTGAACAGAGAGCAAAGGGTGAATGGGAGACCCTGGTCCTTCCTATAATGTCTTGGTTGKTTGACTGCTCACTGGAGATACCCAGTGCAGTTCTTGGCTCTTTCAATGAGAAATTCTTCTGTAAGCCCAAAGAAGTTTCTGATCAAAATATTTTTGAAGTTTGTTGAGCCTAAAAATGAGTTTTCTTTTTGACAAACCTTTTTTTTTTTTTGACAGTGTTTTGAAAAATTCCCAGCTAACTCCATTAATTCCTTCCATAAAGGAAAACAATAGCATTCTTCCCAGAATTGTTGCAAAATATGTTTGTTTGTATTTGTTCCAAAACTGAGTTGACTAAGGAGGTTGTAATTTTAGTAGTCTAAGTAATTTGTTTGAGAACAGATACAAGGGAAACAAATCACAAATTAAAATTTTACTGGTTTAACCTTGCTGGAACTATTTAAAATCGACTTTTCTAAGCATGTAAACTCCATTTAGGGAAACATACTTCCTTAAATGGGAAGGAAGTGCATAGATGAATCAATGTATTTTCACAAAATGTGGAGTTGAAACCTAATTGCGGAATAATTTCCCTTGCATTTGTTAATTATTTTGAAGTGCATATAATATAACAGTTTGGGTTCAAGTGCAGAAAACATTTTAATATTTCTCCTCTTGCCTTACCTGAACAGGGGGAATTTGTCTCCTGTTTATTGTCRCTCTTGCGACAAATGACTGACAGACATTATCAACAGCTTCTTGATAGCTTCAACACAAAGGAGGATCTGAGGGTGAGTAACACAATTGTTTCCACTTGTTCAGGCCTTTTTATTTCTCTTTTCTCTTTAAGATATCCCTGTGCTTTGATGAATCACTTGAATATTTAAATTTACAGATTGGCTAACTATTGCACAGGTTTTCTTGGCAGCTCGAGTGTACTTTTATAGGGGGGCAAGGCTGCTGTTGCTTCTACAGTGACAGCAGAGAGAATCTGGTGGAGGTGACTAAATAATTACTTTAAAGCCATGAACTTAGCCTCCAAATCACTTTTAAAGATGCTGTAAGTCGGMGGTTACACTGTTCTTGTTTAATTCTTCCTGTCAGGCAATTGGGGATTTTTTTGTTTGGCTTATTATATTTGGTTTTTTTTTCATTCATTAAATTATGTACGGCAATAGCAAACATGCAGCTTGAGAAATGCATATTCAASTAGCTCTTCATTTTTCTTAGCTGTGTCTGTTGGCAGGAGGACGTGTCAGACTTACAGTGTCTGTCTGCTCATTTTGGTCATGAAAAAGTTGATGCAGAGCTCTTTTAAGGCAGCTTCTACCACTTTCATTAATAGGTTTGTGGAGATACAATATTTTTAATCCCTTYTTGGAGGAGGGGTGGGATTAAAAAAAATTTTTCAAAGTTAAGATTTCCTGCTTAAAGATATACACTAAGATTTCCACTCTACTGGACCCCGAAAAGCTAATATAGTACCAAATTTGATCCACACAAAATACCTTGAGTAATCTTTTATGCACATTATTCGGCCAGTAATCATATCCTAAAGTAATAATATCTTTTACATGTTACTCCTTAATTACCATTTGATAAATATAAGTACTGCCCTGAAAAAGGGTGTTGAATCAAGGTGCAACTTTAGATTTACTTTCATTCCTGATAGCTGTTTAGAGGTGGAAGAGAGCRTTCCATTTGTGAGGGCCTTTTCTTTGAGTGAGATGGTCATATTGAGCTTGACAGATAAAACAAGCTGCTGAGAAGTTATCATGAATAAAGAGCACTACCTAGGAGTTGTATTGGGTGGATGGTTTTTATGAGAGCAATACAAAATCTGTTTTCACCTAGCATAGTTGCTATCTTTAGGCAAGTTTTAGTAACTATTGTGCATTCTTTAGTGGAAATATTCTCCCTTTTGTGTTCTGAACCAGTATTCCTATAGGTTTCAGGCTTTATTTCTGTTTGATTTGTCTGTGAAATACAATGTTGAGTTTACTCGGACTTTCCTTCCTTCTAGAATATTAAAAATYTCTGGAATTAATGCCTGAATGGTGTTTGATATGCCACATTTACATTCCCCCCACGCACATACCCTACTATTATGCCCAGACATATGGAAAGCAGCTGTAGCTGCTGCCATCAGCTATCAAAACAGAGGTCTTGAGAACTCAAGTCCAGAGTTTGTTATTTCCATTCAGACCTCATCAWATCAGCATCAGCCTCACCAGTGATTCAGTGGCAGTAGTCAGATCATCATTAAGGCAGCATTCCTTCTCTTCTGAATCTTAAATAATGTATTGTTTTTCCCCCTCACTTGGAAATACCAAATATCACTGAGAGCAAGAGGGAAGGATGAGAGCTGGTGTGTGAGGCTGACACTGTGGTTAATCATGAGGTGATTGTGTGTGACTAGGCTATCTAAGCCATCTTGCCACTTCCCTTTTTACTTTCCTGTTTTGATTACTAAGTGTGGAATTTACTTTAAGAGATGTGTCTTAGGAAATGATATCAGTATGGATAAATGAAAAAGCAACAGGTGTAAATATCAGTGCTAAATCTTTTTTTTTTTTTTTTTCCGTGAGATGCTTTAGAAGCTCACATMGTAGTCCTAGTTAATTTAGTGGCTAGTTGTGATTTAAATTTCAGTGGYAACTACCATCAGCTTGCTATTTGACTCCTCATTTAACCTCCAGGCAGTGGTACCAAGTGAGTTGGGTGTTTCTGAAACCACAAGTTACAGATCTGATAGGAGGTTTACAAGGGACTCATCTGAGWGTAACCTAGGCCTTTGAACTGCTTTGTGATCTGCTCTTTTTGCTTTAACTACCTCTGGTTATAATTACCTATCTATACTAAATGATTAGGCACTGATACCACATGACATTTCATCTTTCTTCCAGACTAATTCTCAAGGTGACTGTGTGAATACTTGCATGAATGTATGTTTGCACAGCATTTGTGATACACTTAATAAAAATACCCCCACCAAATGACTTCTCCAAACAAAAATTCACTCAATAAAGTACTTGCAAAAAAGGAAAAAAGGTTCATTTTATCAAATTATATTTATASATCATTTTTTTAGCAGTCTATACCAAATTTACTGAAGGCTGTTTCCAGCTTGTTAAACACAGAAAAGCAAAATGGAGACTTTGAAGGAATGACATGTACACATATTTATATGACATGCATCTGAGTGATGCCTTAAACAAGTGGTTGCTTATGGAAATATTCCCTCTATTTTGTAAATATATTTATCTTAAGTAATTGACATGGTGACTGTCATGGTTTTGTCAGTTTTTTAAGAGAGGTTTTTTCCACACAAAGCAGAAGATAGGAAAAACATTTTATATTTGAAAAKATGCAAATGAAGTATAAAAGAACTGACAGGGGTTTCATGGCTGAGTGGTAGAACCAGGGATTATACTTCACTCATTTTTTGAAACCCTGACTTTAACAAGACAGTTATTTTAAATGCTTCCTTTTATCTTTCAATATTATTTTAAAGGTCTGCTCTTTTTGCTTATCACAAAATGCTTTCTTCTTCTAGTAAATATATTTTACAGTAATTTATAGAACAGAGGCACCCTTGTAGGTGGATATTTGCTGCTGTGAAAAAGCTCACATATAATTTATGACAAAAGGTAACAGTGGAGATTATAAATAGGAAGAGAACAGTGGGAAAGTAAATGCAAAAAAACCAGTATATGTTAGCACAGTGCAGCTTTGACCACAGCGAGGTGGCTTTGATCAACGTGTGTGGGGTTTTCAATTAATGGATTAAAAGAAGACAAARCAGGTAAGTATCTGCCAGAAGGCCTAGTTTTTATTCATTGGCAGTGTACCCTACATAATGTGAGAGAAGAGAGATTTGATGAAGGAGATGATAATTTCATAGGGATGGGTGTAAACCTTACTAGTTCTGTGATCCCTTGTCTCCCAGCTCAAGGAGCCCCGAGCAGGGTAAGGCAGGTGCCAGACTCTAATCCCAAGTGCAGTTTATTCCACGTTCTCTAATGGCCCCTGGAAGAGAGGCTGTGTGAGGTCTGTAGGCATGGGGAGTGTCCCTGGTGGAGAAGCTCAGTTCTGGCCACCATCCTTGCCCTACTGTGCAGGGACATCCACTCAGTGTGGGACTTCTGAAAGGATGAGTGCTGGGGCACAGGGGTAGTTCTTAAGCCACTCATTTAAGTGGCTTCTGATGTAGATTAAGAAAGCAGTGAAGGAAAGAAGATCTGGGAAGAGAGCTGGCCAAGGGAGGGATGAGYTGCCCAGGAAGTGTCAGCTCTGTGTGAAACCATCCTCTTTCTTACTGGCATTTGGCACTCTGGATGCTCTGCAGAGCCTTGATGCCAAGCAGCCTGATCACCCTGCAGTAGGAATCAGAGCAATGGAACATTAAGGAATTATCTTCAAAGTGAGCTGTTTACCAAATTGTAAATGTAAATTAAAATGCTTTATGGGTGTACCCCAAGAGATCTAGTGAAGAGTCCGATCTGCTTTGCAGAGGGTTTTACATGCATATTGAGAAATGTGTRAAGAAATTGCAAGGCGGTTTTTGGTTACATGAATAGATGGTTTTCAGTCTGTCAGAACGCTGTGCTTCTCACTTAATCACAGTTTGGAAATTTCATTGAGCAAGTATTTCTGCTTGAAGAAAAMCAAATTGTGATATTATATTATGGAATTACAGAATCAGAGAGTGGCTTGGGCTGGAAGGAACCTTAAAGATCAGGCAGGGACATTTCCACTAGACTGTGTTGCTCAGAGCTCAAACTGGCCTTGAACACTTCCAGGAACGGGGCTTCCACAACTTCTGGGGTCAACCTGTCCCAGTACCTCACTGTCCTCATGGTAAAGATGTTTTTCCTAATACCTAACCTAAACCTACTCTCTGTCAGTTGGAAGCCATTCCCCCTTGTCCTGCCATTGCAATGCCCTTTTAAATAGTCTCTCCCCATCTTCCTTGCAGGCTTCCTGCAGATACTGGAGGGGCTTCAATTAGGTCACTCTGCAGCTTCCTTTTTTTCAGGKGGAATATCCAAATTCTTGCAGCCTTTCCTCACAGCAGAGGTGCTCCATTCCTCTCACCATCTTGGCAGCCTCATTTGGACTCACCCCARCAGGTCCCTGTCACTCCTGTGCTGGGAACCCCAGAGTTGGATCAGCACTCYAAGGGTGTGTCACCAGAGTGTGGCAGTGGGGCAGAATCCCCTCCCTTGACCGGCTGGCCACGCTCCTTTGATTGCAGCCCAGGACACAATTGGCTTTCTGGGCTGCCAGTGCACTTTGCCTGCTCATGTCCAGCCTCTCCTGCACCCCGAGTCCTCCTTGGCAGGGCCACTCTGGATCTGTTCATCCCCAGCCTGTGTTGATACAGGGGGTTGCCCTGAGCAGCTGCAGTTCCTTGCCCTTGGTCCTGTTAAAACTCACAACATTCCCACCAGCCTGCTTGTTGGGCTTATCCAGGTCCCTCTGGATGGCTTCCCWTCCTTCAGGTGTGAATTAATACTAAACCTTATAGTACTATATAGTATTATCTTATAGATAGTACTAGGCCTTATGTACACTAGGTAGGAATATTAAGTGATGGTATTTAGAGTATGTAAAAGGACAAATTTACTTCCTTTTTGTCTCTTAAGATAGAAAACATATGAGACATTCATTCTATCTGTACTCAACCAACCAAATGTTAGTTCACTTATACTGCTGGCAAAAATGTTTTTTAAATGTTAAAATCTGTTACTAAATCTATGTTTTGCRTCTAATATCACTAATCACTACCCTGATGACACAATCTTTCTATTTTTAAAGTGAGAATTAGAAATAATTAGCTCAGTATTAATGATTCAAAATTTAATGCCAGTGTGTACATTTGCTTTGTTTTGAAGTATGTTTGGAATAAAAAATGTATTCTGATTCTAGCCTAGTTACCCAAAGAAATGAAGTACATATGGTCTTCCTTTCTGACTGTTAATGACTTTTAAACAAGCTCTCTTAAAGGCACGAAGTTTGCATCTCACACAGCCCTCGGGTTTTAAATCTCCAAACCACTGCATAGTTTTATGCTTTCCCAATAACAGCCATTTGGCCAGTTCAGCAGTCCACTGGTTAGATCCCTAATGGCAGCAACATGTATTGTGTCTGAACAGCAAGACAGGATAAAAACAGAATATGGAATAATTTGGTACCTTATTGTGAGGAGATKTGCAGCAACATTCAAGGTATTGTTGGGATTATGGCACAGAGCTGTGGAATCAGTGCAGGGAAGGGAGGTAACCTCTGCAAAATGAAAAGAGTTAAGCACAAGGTGCAAAGCTCTAGAAAAATGGTCTGGAGTAAATGAGTTGCTCGTTGTTTATCTGTAAAGCTGGTCACATGCATTCAAACAGTATGTTATCTGCAATGAGTGTCATTTMTACTCCTTAATACTGATTTTTTTGGCATCTTGCTCAGAAAACAGGTTGTCTGTTTTATGTAATCTTCTCTGGTGGGTGGGTATGGGGATCTCATCTGCCTTTCCCAGTGCCTGTATTCATCCCCCTTTACAGTGATTCTCTAATGAAAGACATCTGTTGTACAATGCCTGCCATCTACACTTTGATAAATTCACTTGAGAATATATTTCGGTGTTCAAAATTATTTGGTATTCTTTGGCTGTGTCTTCATCTCATSTGTGTTTTGAGGTAACTCTAAAATGATGTGGGCAATGAATACCAAACATTTCAAGGTCAGATATTGCACTGTCAGAAGTGTTTATATCACTTGCCTCATGCTCTTCGTGTTGTCAAAAACTTAATTTTCATACTAAAAGAACACTGGCAGTACTGTATACAATCGAGATGGCCCATTAGAAATACCCTTGTTATTTGTGAAAAGCAAAACTAAAAAAAAAAAAAAAACAAAAAAAACTGCCATATGCTGAGAGGAATAGTTTAGTTAGTTATTAGTGAGTTAAATGACATAGGAGATGATAATGCTAAAAGCTTTCAAACAGTGGTTTCTACACTCAAAGTAGCTCAAAGACTGTTTTTTTAGGTTTAGCAAATGAGGCAGAATGGTTAAGTGACCTGCACACAGCCACCAGCTGCACTACCAGTTACAGGGCCTGGGCATCTCTGTTGGAGTCACTGGTCTTTGCCAACTCAATGATGAATTTGTCCCACCAAATAATGCCACTTTTAGTATAAATCTCGAAAGCGATGAAAGCCTGGCATGATTAAGGAGATATTCTGAACYCTCTGGTGTTTGCAAAGTGCTTTTTTGATTTGCAAATTGTTCTCGACATCGCATTTGTGGAAGTGTATGGGTGGAAACCAAATGCATCTTTGACATTTCTTTTATGCATTGCTGTCAATCAAATAGCATATTATATTATTTTCATCATTTTAAGAAGAAAGGATTAAGTGACTATTTGAAGCTTTCTTGGAAAATAATAAAAAAAAAAGCATTCAGAGGTGTTTCTATGGCGAAAATAAGTGCAATTCTGCTATTTCTATAATGATTTTTTTCTCTCTGATTAAATATTTTTATAGCTCACTGCTCTTTTTAAAGCAGCAAAGACATATGACTAYTTCTTTTCCTTCCAAAGGACTTCCTGCTGCAGATTTTCACAGTATTTCGGATACTAATACGACCAGAGATGTTTCCAAAAGACTGGACAGTGATGCGTTTGGTTGCAAACAAGTAAGAAATTTTTAATGTTATTAAAAAATAGAGGTAGTACTCATGGATCATTATAAAAATAAAGTTATGTGGTGTATGTAATAAAAAGTCAATGTATTTTTTGTAATGGTGGCTACAGTTTTTAACTTCTTAATTTAAGATTTCAAATCTCTGGACTTATTYTATTCTACAAATTTGAATGTAATCTGTACTTCTTTCTGTTCYGAATTTTAGTAGGCACATATAACGGGTTACTCAAAAACACTCTTAGAGATTAAAGCYGCAAAGCGCCAACAGGTTTGTTCTCCAAGTAACAAATGACAGGTCTCTGTGGAACTTATTTTYGATTCCCTCCGTCTTGAAATGCTGAGTTGGTAAAGATCTGTTTGCTCTCAAGAAGAARTTATCAGCTGTAATATCATTAATGATGTTTTTGCATGTTTGCTCATTTAGTGTTCTTCAGAAAAAACACAAATTAAAAATCTCAAATCAGGAAGTGAGGTACAGCACAGGTAACAATCATGTAMGGCTCTAAGCACTGAGATTTTCAGATTAAACCTGCCTGTCAGCCATTCTTTCTTTGCTCAGGCCTTCTTTTTAAAGAAACAGGTTCCCAGCATTTCTTAGAAGTAATTACAACAGGTCTGAAACTATTAAATTTTATTTCACCAGTATCACCACCTATCCTTTTTGCAGTCTTAGCTTTAGATCAGATAAGCCAGCTGAGCAGTCAGCACAGATACACAAACTTCAGTGTCAGCAGAGGAGGGGGGTTGTGTTGGGCAAACCTGGGAATCCAGAATGGACTTAAATTTCATGGTATGTATTGCAATGCTTGGTTGAAATTTGGTTTTAGTCTGCTTTATGTCTGCTGGCTTTAAGGAAAATTTAAATTTGTGCTGCTGTACAGAATACAAGTAGCAATATTATTGGTACAATTTAACAACACTTGTGTTATGTGTGTGTATGCAAGCATAGTATTATTTGTTCAAACTTTGTCATATTTTTTGTTAATGTTTATTATCTCAATGTTGCTAATCTTGCTAAATTTTAATTCCAGAAAAAAAGTTACTAATTAAGGAATGGATATGATTATTTCTGTGTATTATATTAAATAAGGTATGACTGATACCAGCTGCATCTGGTAATCACACTTAAAAAACAAACCATGAAACASAAGAAAGAGGGGAAAAACGTAGGAACTTTTAGACAGAATAAATAATCTAGGAAATTGTTTTCTATTCCAGTAACAGCTGGCTTGGCAGATGGCTTTGCAGCAGCTGACATGTACAGAACTAAGTTTTAGGAACGACCCTGGCACATGTTTTGTGGCTGGTGATGTTCAGAGGATACCAAGTTCTGCAAAAGGAGCACTTTTCTTCTCCAGTGTTTTAGTAAACATCATACAGCTCCCTTTACTAATCCAGGTTATGTTGTTTCTGACCCTCTTGGAGGTGACTTCATGCCCAGTTCTGCCAGGCAAAGAAGAAAGGCAGAAGTTGGCAATAACTGCTGGTGGGAACTGGCCACGAGAAGCTCATCAGACCAACTAACTGATAGCACACAATTGCATAAGCACTTCTGCCAGCAAGTGGGATATGAGTGCATCTTCACCAATTCAGCTTTCAGTAATTGCCTCGTTAGGATTTGTTCCTATGTGGAGGAAGTGCTAGTTTGCTATGAAACAGGGGGTTGACCACGTGTGCTTAAATGTGTGGTGAAAGCTGAAGCCTCATTATTCCTATGTTCCTATTCTGTTCCTTCTTGAGGCAGCAGAAAGGAAAATCTGCTTCAGTTCTCTCCTCAGCTGCAGAGAACATTTTTCCAGAGCTGTTTCTGAATGGGAGTTTCTTCCTTTAATTTCTGTTCCTCGCTGCAGTGGCAGTGACTGCCTTCCTTCACCTTCCTCAAGCTGTTCAAGAGCACAGTCAAGAGTAGCAGCTTTGCTAGAGTTGTTCCAGCCCAAAATCTTTAAGTGCAAAGGAGAGAGCCTAGAGGCAGGATGTGAAATTAGGGTACTGCCTGCCCCACAGAGAGAAGTGAGCTGTTCTTCCTGTGCTTCACTTGATCAGCCAGAGCACTTCCAGGGATCCGAGACTCTTGCCAGAACTAAAGGCAAAATTTCTTGAGCCCTCTAATCCATTCATGACTTAGAAAAAAAAACTGGAAGTTGTAGCCCTTCTTTCTAAGAGCAGAATTGAGTGATCCAATAACAGCATGGATCTTTTCCAAGTCCTGCTTCCTAGGAATAAACCAACTGCCGTATTTCCTGTGTCCAGTGGCCACTTTTTCACCTATCTGGCCTTTCCCTTGAGAGGCTGCAGCTCACCTVAAGGCAGTGTTTGTGTCGTGGGAGCTTCACCCGTCACATCAACAGCAGCACTGTTTTTCTCTCCCCTGTCCCTAGAGTGATACAAAAATTCAAACTGTCTGGTTATTTACAGGAAGAGAGATTTAGCCTGTCYGAGCTTAGGGAAGTCTTAGGAAGGATATAATCAAGTAATAAGCTTTTCCTGGGGGAGAAATTTCTTTTATTTTCTCTAAGTGATGTATGCAGAACTACAATTACCTGAAATATTTCTAAGTCTTAAAATGCCATAATTCTTACAATATACAATATTTGCCTACAAAAATATCACTGCTTCCTGGCTCCTAGGGGTTTTCCTTCTAGTTGCAGTGTTTTCAGTAATTATTTAGCATCTGATACTTGGATACTCTCTGGGAAATGAAAAAAAACCCCACCAAAACCAGAAGATACTATGAGCTCAAGAAGACAAATCCATAACTATCCAGAAATGAAGATGTTTCATGATGACACATGTATGATCTAAAGTTCTGAATGTTCTGATGCCCAACATGTGAAAGTATTAATGGCTGGCATTATGAACTGCCAGCTGACTTCTAAAATTTGAGAAATAAAGTAATATTTAAAAAGGCAAACTTATCATTAAAGCAGAGAAATAGATCTTTTGAATTGTGTTTTGTAATGGAGAACATGCAAAAACATCCTTAGCTTCTAACAGYTGAGCAGTGAGACAGAAATAACTATGTTTAAAGCTTCATAACCATGTAATATCTGTTGTGAGCTGATCAGCATGCATGCAGGAAAGCAAAATAATTACTTATGGTTTAATATTTCTAACATGGATGTGACTGCTGAGTGGCAAATGYGGCTTTACATAAACTATGGAAAATAGCATTTTAATTTCTTTCATTCTAGGAGTAGACCTTGTTTCTACATCAGCTAGGTACTATCTAGCTTTTATTTGTAACTGCACAGGGGTACCACATAATACAGGAAGATGTCTGAATCAGTTGCCTAGCACCAGGGAGAAATACTAAATTTTATAACAAAATGTGTCTGACTAAAATTGAAGCTTCTGGAGAAGACCTTCACAGTCTCAACTGGAAATCACTGTGTAATGGTCACTGGCTTCAGTTACCTTAAAGCTGAGAAAAGAATTATTTATCTAATGCTTTAATTGCCTGTCATCTTTTGAGAGCAGTTAACAGACTCAGCTGAACTCCAGGTATGTCATGTCATTAACAGCTGAGGAGAGCACAGGAGTTTCAATTACTTGCTGAGGAAATGTTTGATATTCATATCATACTATGCCTGTGTATTATTGAACAAAGAGCTAATTTTCTGCTGCTCTTGGTATGCAAGAAGCTTTCATTTTCAAGATCTCTGTGTATTAACTATGTATATGCTTTCAGCTTTCTGCTTAATAGTACAGATGCTGGGTCGTCAAATCCTCAATTTGAATATTATAAGCATACAAAATAGATGTATGAGTACTATTATTTATAGTAAAATAATTTATCTGTAAAATAAGATTTACACATTATGTAGTTTACACTGAAATTTCAAATGTATCTACTGACAGTTGGGCATAAGGGCATTAAGCAGAGAATCCATTTGGTTATCAAATTCAGTAATGGCTTAAATTCTATTATTATTCTAATTATTATTGTTATTATCATTATTATTATTATTTTAAAAATAACTCAAATTGAATACACAGTAAAGAGTAAAGGAAGACGTCAAATCAGCATTAGTGTCATCATTATGGCTTCTTGGAAGAAACCTGTTAGCTCCCATGGTGTGGGAGTCTGAGACTYCTACAATGAGCAAAAATTCTTGATTTTATGTAATGCATAGTGTTGCTAACAACATTTTTGCTTTTATGTAATACAAAACGTTGCTAGCAACTAAACTGGCATTCAGTGTGTCACAAAAACATACATATGCATAGGCATGCATGTCTAAATAAGCTCATGAACATATAACAATACATACATACACATATACATGATTCAAGGTTTATTTCTTTTCTTTCTGAAATATGAAAGAAGCTTTTGTCTGTTCAAATACCTCTGTGTTTGGGAATATTTCACTCTGAAATAGCAAAGGATGGAATGAGAAGCTACTGTTATACATTGTCCAATATCAGCATGGAAGAGGAAAGCTTTAATTTTCTACCACTGGCTGCCCAGGTAGTCAAGTTGCCACAGCATAGCCCAGGCAGTAAACAGTTGTTGAACTTTTTGTATTTTTTAAGAGCTTATTGCAAAGGTTTGCTCCAAAAATTGGATGTAAAAGCTACTCCATCAACAATGGCCTGACCAGACACTGGGTTAGCATCCTGTGTATGAGCCTGGAATAACTTAGTAGCTAAAAGCAGAGGTTTTCCTCTTCTGTAAAACAGGCCGTCTGAACAAATGCATGTTAGGTGGTAAGAGGAAGAAAGGCAAGTCTTGTCACAAACGCAGTGGTTTATAGTTTGATACTCAGATGGATTTCAAATGAATGATATTGTTGTTGTTTGGAAATCACTGGCTGGGAATCAACTTGGAATGTGAGTGCTGTACCGGATCAGGCAGCCTTCTTCTGGCTGGTGCCTCTGCTTTCTGCATTTTTGCTTTTCTAATATATGAGCACACCCAACCTTTGCTTGTTTTCCTGTTCCACCTGATTTTAGATTGTTGCAGATTCAAAATAACAGATTGTGGGTCAAAAACAATGTCTTCAACCTTGTGAGTTCCATCTGGTATTTTGAAGTTTTTTTAACTACAGCATACTCTCTCATGTTAGAGACCCACATTTTATCAACTACTCCATTTCATATCTTTGGCTTACCAGATAAACAAAACCCAAGCTAAGTTCCCTATGGGAAGAAGTACGTGCATTGCAATTATTCTGTTATTTCAGGAGAATTCTTCAAAAAAATTCTAAAAGTTGCATTGAAGATGTCTGCTTTATTCACCTCCTCGTAAGAATTGAGACAGGTCTTTCTCTTCAGTTTGACCTGCCATGGAAGGAATGTAGCAAGAAAGGAATTGTCTCAGACGTAAATAGAACTATGTAATGTAAGCTTGGCAGTGTGGTTACAGATCTGGTGGAATCTTTTCTTGAGTACAATTTTTCAGGGATTTATTACTTTGGACTTAGGTGGAAATTTTACATAGCAGTAATTCTGATGAACTGACTTTTTCTATCAGAATGTCTTCCTGAAATACACAAACTATTTCCATTTTGTGAAGCATATGGGCTGTAAATTAAATCATGCACAACCAAAAGAATCACAGGGCTCTGTTCTTATCCGTGCCTCAATTATTAACTTTGCTTATACTTCATTTCGCTACCATTTCACTTTGTGTTCCATGCTGCAACAGTGAGTTCTGTGCACAGGCTGTAAGTCCCCATTGGTGAAAAGGTGGGGTTAACTTATAAATGTGTGCTGAGCATGGAACACTAAAGTCACAGTGCAATTATTGAGAAAGCAGTATGTATGAAAATGACACTTGAACAATGGAATAGGAATAAATGAAACTTGAGACTCAAGCACTGTTCCAAAAACAGTCTCAGAATTGGCTGTTACAGGTGTTCAGGCTCATCAAGCAAGAAAGTAAAGTTTTAGCAGGGACAATAATTTTAAATGTAAAAAAATGGAAGCAAAAACATTTGAACTACTAACATTATTTAGTAGTTATAAATTATTTATAAATCAGTATTTATAAATTATATATAGCCATTTCTTATTTATAAATGTGAAAACCGTCAAAATTGCCAGAAGAAAAAGACAGTTTATCTCCTAGGTGGGTTGGCTAACATATAATTCTTCAGCGTTGTGAAAATGAAAAATACTAAAACCTTGAAACATATATGTTGCTATTATTGTACTTAAAAATTTGTTTTGCCTTGAATGCATTGCAAAAAATAGTTAAAAAAACCCACGAAGCCCAAAGTATAGAATGAGAAACAAATTTTAGCATTGTAACAGCATGCAGGTCAAGAACTATGTGCAAAGAGCTATGTGGTAATTAAATGAAATGTGTAGATATAAGCTTTTTCTCAGAAGAGCTTTAAACAGTTGATTGTCGTCAAACTCATAACAGCAAAAAGATCATTCTGTGTTTATCTTTTTTATCCCCGTAAGCATTTACTTATGGCTACTTTCAAAAATAATTAAATGCTTTATGTGGATTTTTAGTTTGACTAAATATGTTTGTAGACAAGAGAGCTGCAGAGATTACTTTAAGGGTTTAATCATTGAAATGAGGTATATTTAAATAGTCTCAAGGGAAGTTCTGTTTCTGTAGATTACCAAAGTTGGTTGCTTCAATGAACAAAGCCATCATTGACCTCTGGTGACAATCACTGTGAAAGGATCTTGGTCATATATATTTATTTAAGATTGATTGTTATAATTCAGGCAGGTGTGAATGTAGGGTAATGGCTGTCTACAACATACAGCATAGAGATCTTTAGAAGCAGATCATTCTCTCAGAGCTCATGCAGTTTTGCATTTATCTGTTGTCATTAAAAAGACTTCTTGTCCATAAGGGGGGTGTCAATGTTGAATATTGGTATTTATCAAATGTTTTATATTTATAATCTATATGCACGTATTTTGAGTACCAAGAAAGCTGAAGACAAATTGTACAACAGTATGTATTAATGCTATTAGGACAAGTTGTATAACGAATCCGATATCATAATTGTTTGCACAACAAAGTTTATGATCTGTCTTGATAAATTATATTCTTCTATACAGAATGTCTGTTTTCAGTGCACATTCTTACAGCACACTCTATTATCTTAATGTGTGTGCTTTCTGTCAGTAGGTTAGTCAGGTATTTATACGATTTGTTGAAGATGAAGTGTTTAATACCACCAGACATGCTACATCTGTTTCTTCATTGGAAAACTGTCTGGCTTTGAGTGTTAAATATGAATTTCCACTTAATGAAAACTTCTGTCTTTCTCATTCTTTTCTTCCCAGTGTGATCATTACTACAGTTTTGTACCTTTCGGATGCCCTCCGTAAAAACTTCTTAAATGAAAACTTTGATTACAAGGTAGAGTAAATGATAGATGCAATAGCTGCTACATTCTCATGGGGCTTGGTGGTTATTAAACTTAGCTCCAGCATCTAAATAGCTAGAACATGAACCAAATCAGCAGTTCCAAGTGCTCAGAGAGGTTTTTTTTCTTAAATATAGGACTGTCTTAAAAATGAACGCTGTGAGGTTTCTTAATTTCATCTAATTTTTCATTTTGTAGTTTTAGCCTCTTTGTTGAACTATTTTTTTAGGATTTTTGCATAGCAATTCTTTGGATCATAAAAACTAACAAAATTATTTAGCTGGGTTTTTTTAGTTATCACAAAGAAAAAAATAATTCTTGTTTTAATCAATGCAAATTTATATAAAATGCAGATTTATATTTCTGTAATTTCATAATCAAAATTAGAAAATGATGATGCTTCATGATGAATGTAGTTAAAGGTGTTAGTGAGTTCCTCATATAGTGAGATATTGCATTTATGATAAACTGTGAATTACGGATTATGGTTTTTGGATTCAGATGAGAAGATCTAGGAATGTGTCTGAAAAGATACATTTCCATGGAAACAAACCTGAATGAATATGCTTTCCAGCCAGGAGATGTTAGCCCAGCTGCTGCATCATGAAAAGTGCAGAATTTCTTTCCTAGAGGAGACAGTGAGCTCCTGCTGACTTCCAGCAGGGTTGTGGATGCTTCTCTGAAAATCCAGACTCCTCTTAGATAAACTGGCAGGAATGTAACTGAACATGAGCCTATTCTTGTCAAATTCCCATAAATTCAGAGGTTAAAACTGATAAAAAATTGCCTGTAGACAAGGCCTCTATGTTCCTTGAACTTAGCAATGTTATTACAGTCCTGCTGAACTGCAGGGCCTGGAACAGGGCTTCCTCTACACTTCTTGTCATGGAGCATCTATGATTGTAATTATTAGTTTTTCACTTTATCTTTAAGCCTTATAAGTAGAATATTCAACTTTTAATTCATAAAGCACGAGCACAAAACATCTGTATATTTGCAATATATTAACAAAACCCAGCTTTGGCTTTCTCCAGTGAAGGCTACAGCAAGTGACCACTTGCAAAGAGCATTATAAAGTGTGATGAACAGAAAATGTCAATCCTGTTATGTGATAGCTTTTGAGATGTCAGAATGTTTTTGTTTTTGGACTTAAAGGCATATTTTTTGTAGCTTCCTATTTAAGTAAACACAAAAAAAAAGTTTCCAAAAGTAAGGCTTTTTGATTTGGAGGGTTGAAAAAGCCCAATCTGGAACTTTGAAACTTTTAYCTTTAGAGATAATAGGATATGTAAATAGATGTATTTCTGCTCAACATTTTGGGGTTGGTGAAAAGTATATTTGGAATCAAATTTAGTCAAAAGCAGTTTGAATAATTYATTAGTGGAGACTGAAACAAGGGCTGTGGTTTGAAATTATGCATCTTGGGTGGTCATAAATTGTGGTACTGAGAAAATGAAATAACCGAATATCATATGCTTATTGTAGATATGGGATTCCTACTTTTTCCTTGCTGTCATTTTTATAAACCAGTTATGTCTGCAACTGGAGATGTTCACACCTTCCAAGAAGAAAAAGGTGTTAGAAAAGTAAGTATTGCTATCAGCTTGTAGAAAACTAAAAGATGTAAAATTTCTCAAAATTGATATTGGATATTTCAAAGATACTGGATGTTGCAAAAGGGCCCACCAAAAAGAAAACATAGTAGTATATTCATGGACTAGAACAAGAGTTGGTTCTGGCACTTTGTACAGATCTTCAGAGCCAATAGCCTACATATGGGTGCCTAAGCTGGTTCAGACACTGGGAGCAAAATAGCCACTCATTGCCACTTAAAGATTAAGTCAACTCACCCTGGTTCAGGTGTTTATGCCAGGCACTGCTCTGTTGTCTGTATTGCTGCCTGAATTAACCATATTTCTTTAAGCTAGAGCAAAACTGTTCTCAGAGAGCAAAATGGAGCATCTTACTGCAAAAAAATAGGTTTGGCATCACAGCTGTGTTACTGAGGCATAGTATTTTGACAATATTTCAAAATAACCTGGCTATCTGGTTTTAGCTGGGTACAGTCAAAAGACCAAAAACTTAGGAGAAATCAGCACTTCCAAAGTTGTTTTCTGTGGACTACAAATGAGACGTTTCATTTAATAATGTCAGAGAATGGCATATGAACTTGATTTTTCTTAAATTATCTTTCAATTTTTTGCTTTATTTTTTAATACACTGCAGATATGGTGACATGCGGGTAACAATGGGATGTGAAATCTTCAGCATGTGGCAAAATTTAGGTAAGTGATTAAACACATCATCAGTAACTCATAAAATTAAAGCAAATTATAAGTTCTTCACCTATTATATATGCTTCCCAGTGGCAGAGGAGTTATTGACATGAATTCTTGATTTAAGTTTAGGAAAAAGTTTGTCATCTGTAGTCCCTTCTTTATAGCCAGATTCAGCCTTCTAAGCCTTGATACTGTATCTGATCTAGCCCTATTTCTTCACAGAGAATTAAGAGAATACCATCAGAGAAAATTAAGAAAGTACTACTCTTTTTGGGCAGAATTACACTTTGAAATACACTTTCATTCTTAATTTTTCTATTGTCAGATAGTTTAAGGATAAGACATATCTCAGTTCTGAAGCTCTGCTCAGATGCTGGATTTGCATCAATTCTTCTCTGAGGTCATAGTTGCACTAAAATATAAAGGCATAAACAAGTCAGTGACTAATATATAACACATTGGACAACATGGAAAAAAATACATGCTTGAATATAAACTTAGGAATGCATTTATATTTTTAAGCAATAACTGTGCAAACTGAAAGTATGAGTGTCAGAAAAATGCAGGGGAATGTTGTTTGGAAAAAAAATAAGGAGTAGAAGTTTTGGACAATGTCATCTTTGTATTTCAGTTACTTAATACTCGCTTCATCAGAGGGCTCATTAAAGATACAGCAACCATCATAAGTGATTTCTGAGATACTGTCATCTGAATTTTATCAATCTTTTTCCCAGCAAGATATGTAGTTGTAAAAAAATGGCCTTTCAGATCAGCCTGTTCTAGAGAAAAACATGTTTAAAATAAGAAATATTTTCTTATTAATATCTTGTTAATGTCTGATAAGTAGTATGTTTTACTTATTTACAATATTTAGTATTGCTTACTCACTAAGACATCTCTCTAAATTACATGGATACTTTATGGGTATTTCAAAACTGGTACATCGAGGATCCACTCCCAGGTCCCATCTTGTTCCTGCAGGCACATTGTTGCAGGAACACTCACGTTTTCTGCTGAAAGGGAACTTGGGATGCAGGCAAATGGTGTCTTTCAGTAGGGATGAATTTTGTGGAGCTTATCTGGTAATGTGTCCAATTAAATACTATATAACCTATAGTCAGGATGCTTATTTTAATTGGTGTTATGCTAGTCAGCATGTTACTATTCTTGTAGCAGTTAAGAGTCATCATAAGCCTTGATCCTCGTACAGTCACTTTGCTTTCCTATGGATAAGCATTCTAGGATGTTTCCAGAAAAGGGAGTTCTTGTGTTCCTTTGCACAAACTCAGATACTGAACAGAGCAGCAGGCAGGGGTGAATGCCCACTGGAATACCCAGAGGTAGGCTGGATGTAAACTAATTAACATCTTGGAAAATCAGTGCATCCTGATTAATAATCCCTCTGTTTTAAAGATATCAGAAGTTTTACTTGTGGAAAACTGAAACTGAATAGTCAGTGTTTACTGCATGCCATTTCTAGCTTTTCTGACAAGAATATAATTTTCTGTTAAGTGGAATGTGGTAAGATAATAGAAGATGTTTTAGCACTGGTTTTAAAGCAAGTTGTTTTGAGAACAGCTGAGTCATAGCTCCCTTTTCCTGCGATTGAAACACATATTTCCATTTCTATACTTTTAAACTAGAAGTAGGTAAAAATCAAAGTACTTACCTCTTTTGAATGAGAACGGAATATCAGACAGTTAACCATTTTGTAAACACAAGGATGTAGAACTTAGAAACCAAATTATGCTTATGAAATAATAATTAAATGCCTAGAGAGTGCTTTGTCTGTCTTTGTTCTCCTTCTGGAGGATTAACTTCGGATACAGCTAACCCACTGTCACTTCTGAGCTCAGTATTGCATAATAAAATCTGATAAATTATGTTGGCCTTATATTCTTGTATTATCTATAGCTTTCACTTTTTGGGCTTAAGAAATAGCCCATGCTGGAATGGACATGGGATGAAAAAAAAAAMAACTATAGACAATTAGAGTGCTATTTTTTTGTTCTTCAGATAGCATTTGAATATCTTGATAACTCACAGGACACCCAATTCACATTCAGTTTCTGTTCATTTCCACTCTAGGGGAACACAAGCTTCACTTTATTCCAGCACTGATCGGGCCCTTYCTGGAAGTGACCTTGATCCCTCAGCCAGACCTGAGGAATGTCATGATTCCTATTTTCCATGACATGATGGATTGGGAGCAAAGGCGAAGTGGCAACTTTAAACAGGTACTTTGTGTGAAGCTGTTTCTAAACAGGACTGAATATCAAGCACTTGATAAGAGTCCTAGTGGATTTGAACCTGGAGTTCCATTGAGGGTTCGGGGTGGAGAAAGCATCCACAACTCTGCATGTTGGAGAGGGATTACAAGGGTTTTCCCTTTCCAAACTTTGCAGGGTGGTAAGATTCTCCAGTTAATACCATCGTGTTAGCTATGTAAGATGAGGGATAAAATCCATGGCCTGCTGAAGGGAAGGACAAAACTTGAGCTGTTTTCACCAGCGTTGTTGTGGTGGTTTTTCACCTCTGCTTTCCAGTAGTATAGACTGCTGGTTAGGTAGAATTCAACCAGCTTCCCTTCCAGTTACTGTGGAGAAAGATCAGATGTTCTTCAGTAAAGATCCAAGTATTCTTGTTGCTCAAACACTTTCTTAATGGGCTAGGAAGGAACGACCAAGAGTGCCATCTGCTCCCACGGCTCCCACTCAGTTGTTTCAGACTGCCTCACACCACTCTCAGTGCCCTCCTTCCTGCTGCTTCAAAATGAAGGAAAGTAGAAGTATTTTAATTACCCCAGGCAATCATAATGCTTAGGGTGGGAGCTGCATCCGAAACACAAAACAATTGAGACTGGAGGAGTGCATGGCATAAATAGGTAGCTTTTCACTATCAATATATAAGCTTATTGTTACAAATTACTGCAGAAATGTTAACAAGGAGTGATAATAAACTCCACTTGTTCTGCTTCTCTGTCTTTTCAGCTTGGCTTTAAGTTTAAATTGTAATAACTTATTCTGCAATAAAATAATGACAACAGCTTGGTTTCTCCCCTAGCTTTGTGATGGTTAATATAGTACTGATAAAAAGGAGGTTTGCATTATGAATACACAGTGTAGCATCAGCTCTCTATTTTTTATAATTGATACTTAAAAACATGCATTGGAAGCATCATTAACTACCAGATAATTACTGTACATTTCCTTGGTAGCTAATATGTAAGTCCAGCAAATTTGATTTCTAATGAGATAATTCTAATTCTTAGAGGTAAGAGGGTTGGGAGAATGTGAGCTCCCAAGTATTCTGAACAGTGCAGACATTTATGAATGTTCAGTTATAAAGAGTGGGGTGCAGGTTGAAAAAGATTATATTTTTTCTGAAGTCTAAGAAAATAGCTTGTGCTTGCAGCCTTGCAGTGAGAATTCAGGCAATTTATTTGGGCTGTGTGCTTTTCCTCTGACTCCATAAATAGATAGCTGCCTTAGCAGCAGCAAATGCTACTCAGCCTGTAGTTTTAAAGTCACGTTGCTCAATTTAAATTAGCTCCCTCCCTCAAAACCCACCAAAAAAAAGAAAGCCCCACAAACCTTGGGAATGATAACAGCTTCGAAGAGATGAAGTGACTTATCACATGATTGACCAATAATTCTAAAATACGCATTTAGCAAAGTCCCTTACATAAAACCAGATCTTCCCTTCATTTTCTCTAATCTCATTAAAGGAAAAAGGAGCTGTTTATACCCCACTTATATGTTGCAGGTGGAAGCAAAGCTGATTGACAAACTGGACAGCCTAATGTCAGAAGGTAAAGGTGATGAAACATACCGAGAACTCTTCAACAGTATGTGAGTAATATGTTTATCTTATAATTCCTTGAGTTCACTTGGTTGTATCAGATGCTAATGTCATTGCAGACAAGCAGTGCTTAAACCAGTTGTCATGCTCTTTTTTTTCTTTATCCTTTTTTGTTTCCTTAAAATCTGAAGAATAAAACGTGTCGTGGTGTTGGATAGCATCTGTAAAGTCTGGCAGTACTTCTTGCATACAGCTATAATTGGGAAAGACTAAATCTGTTATACCACAGAACATTCTCTTTCTCTACCTACTGAAATCAGAAAAGCAAGAAATGCTTCATAATTGCATAGGGTGCAGGTAGAGCTCAGATGGAGCATTTTGAAAACAAGGCATGACAATTCAACAAAAAGCGTTTAATAAATAATTTTCTATTGCTGTAAACTTGTACTCCTCTAAGTAATGTCACTTGTTGATTTCTTTTTTGATGTAAACAATTGTGTTTATTCCGATAAGATTATTTCTTTTTATTTTCTTTTATAAATTACTGGCTAAGGTTTTAGCATTTTTTAATAAATGACGTGCTACTTAAATCTAATAGGAAAAGCTAATGATGATGCTGAAGTCCCTAAAGTTGCCCTTAAGTTACTCCAGTGACTGAAATAAATGATTTTCACAGGGTACAGGTACAAAATAACTAACTGGACTCTGTCTCTGTTGTTCATCAGAGCTCAATTCACCAAAGTGAAAGATCACTTATTTGTGATGTGCTTATTTTAGTAGGAGTTGTGTTGTTCCTCTTCAGAATTCCAAGCTGCTGTGTTTTCTTCAGTACTACTAAATACACAATTCTTTTCCTGTTTATATGGTTTCTTAATCATTCATTCTTCTTTAAGTATTATTTTTAGCTCTCTTGCCTTTGCTTAAAGAACAAGATTCAGGTCTTGGTGTCTGAGAATAGCAAACACGTAATAATCTGTAATTGTACCGAGTTGAAAAAATAGAATTCCTAAATATTTATCATGTATAGAAGCAAAAGAGAGATAAGGCAGAATAGTATGGAATTGAATGAATAATAGCAAACAGCAGTACAGTATGCTGAAGCAGAACTTTCTTGTAGTTACTCATGACATTTTCATAATCTGAGTAACAATAATAAAAGATATTTTCAATATTTTAGTAATACAGTATTCTAACTGTAAAATTAAACCATTAAAGGAAAAGCTGTAATTATAAAATCAAGTCTATGCGAAATACCTCAGTGTGTCTATCAATAAAATAACTTAGATTCTATAAGAAAGCATATTGATATCAAAAGCAGTTAATATTTTTTTTTGTAGTTTTGAGCTTGATTTAACTGGGGATTTAAACATGATATAGTGAAAAATGTTGAGAGCCTTTTATAAATCTAAATGCCGAAGGCATAGTCATGGTAATTTAAATTGCAAAATGTCTCACAGCATCAGTATACTTGTGTTTTGTGTTATGGTATAACAGAAGTTGAAACTAAACTCTTTAGGAAATTTCAGAGTAACTGCTCAAGTTCACTTGCAGCTTATGAAAAAGGTGGTATTTATTATAGTTTTTTTACTAAGTTTGATTAGACTATATACATTGTCACCTCTTGAGGAGAGCCTGTAGAAGATACTAATCTAAAATGGAAGATGACATATTGTTCTAGGGTATGGGAAAGAAACTGATGAAAATAAGATGGACATTTTAGAGAGTTGACTGCAAGAGTTGGGGTCAGTTAGCCTGAGATTTAGGGTTTTTTTTATTTCTTCCATGAGCTATTTAAACTAAGCAATATTAGAGTGTCTTTACACAGTGCAAGAAAGCAAACTTGTTTAGGCTGAAGTGGCAGAGATGTACCAGCTACCCAAGGACTATGAAATAGTAATACAGTGGTTTTTTAGTCTTTAATGAAAGCAAATACTACAATATTATGTGATTTTTTTTTTTTTTGAAGAGTAGGTGTGGTTACTTTTGATAGGTATCACTGTCAAGGAAGCCAAGGGAATGCACACACCTACTTTGAGTGCAGCCTTGGGACTGCAGCAGGTGTGACATTTTCATGTTTTCTCATACTTTCTGTTTATTTTGTCTGAATTGGAAAATGAATTTAAATCTCTTAACTCCCACGTTAACTGCTTTTTTGTTTCCCAGAGACAATCACTGCATCTTTCCTTGAGCACCTATTTTCAAGGATAAATTATAAGCATCTCTGGAGATATCTAAAACATTATGTGCTTCGAATTTACTGCCTACAATGGGATTATGTATATCAAATAAAAGAGAGAGAAATTAGGGTGAAGGTGACTGCTGTTTGTTTTGAATCAATGCCTTTCTCAGGACTTGAATGTGACCATTCACTGATTAGCTCCTGATGTCATTTGAAGGAGCTGCAAAGCATGAAGTAGTGCACATTTTGTTATCATGACAAGCTAGATGTTGCGATTGCTATCCATTGTAATTATGGTATGAAAGCTGCTTTGATCTACATTCAAACTGTAATATTGCAATTAAATTCCTGAGTTAATTAGCACAGGGAAAAAAGTAATTTTACTTTATTAAACGGTGGTTAAAACAAAATCCTCAGAAGCCAAGGTATATATTCAAGTAGCCTTTTTTTTCTGAATCTGATGGATGCTGCCAGCTTATTATTTCTGTAGCTGTATTTCAGTTTGGCCTAAGACAAGCCATTTCAGATTTGGAAGTTAGGTGGCCACAAGAATGAAGCACAAAACCTGGACTTAGTAGTTCTGCTGGTGGGACCTGGCAAAGAGGCTTCTCTTTGAAGAGATTGGAGCTGATATTCCGCTGAGCAGGCATTTATTACTGAGTTCTTCCAGTTTCTGGGTGATTTCTCTAGTCATGAARCTATTACATAAAAAGTGATGGCTGCTACCTCTCCTGCGCTGTCCTCAGTTATCTTAATTTCTTCTTCAAATGCATGGCTGAATTCAGCACTGCCCAGTCCATTAGATTCTGTCTGGAGTGATTATTTTCAGAACCCTTAACCTCTGGCTATAGTGATGGCTTTATACTCCAAAACAGATGTTTTAAGGCAACTTTAGGATTAGCTGCCTGTGAGCTAAAAGTCTGAATAACTGTGGTTTAGGCATACAAAATCCATTTACTACATGATTGAGTTAGCCTGAACATTGTTCTAAGTCTGGTGTTCAACCCCGTAGAACCCTCGTCCTCTGGGTCACCACTTGAGATACCCAAGATTAAAAATAATTAAACACCCCACCACTACCAAACAAAACAAAGCAAACCATAATTGTTCAGGTGAGCCCAAGTGTTAGGCTGTAATAGCATGGATAGCCAGAAAAATTTTTATTGTTTCCCTATGTTGTTTATCCCCCTTATTGCTTTGTAGAAGGCAGTATCTTGGCTGGTTTGGGATCTGTAAGAATTCAATTCTACCTAGATATAACCTAGGATATATTTGAGTAGCTTTTTCATTCTGAGTGTTTGTTCTGTGCATTGTGCTGGAAATGTGTGGGGGAGAGAGGGAGGAATGCATCATAAGGCAAGGCATGATTTTTTTCAACTGACATTGATGTCAGTTTGAATAAGTACTTTGAATGTATCTACTCAACCCATTATTAGAAATTGCATGTTTATAATGAACATGCCAATGCAATTTTAAAGAAAACACAAAAGTCAAATGCAAATAAGAACTATCTGTTTTGAAAGAGAACTCATACTTCTATTGTTTTTCTAGAGGAGCTAGAGGTAATTATTTTGTTATGTCTATGTTCAAATATTCCTGTTTAACGTAGGGTTAAAAGGAAGTACAAAGAAAAAAATCATGGCAGTAATCAAGGTTTAATAACGTGACAGGCTCTACTCTTATGTCTTGTTAGACACAAAAACTTGTATTGGAAGGAATGTAAGGGGTTCGGAAGTGAATTAAGGTAGCCTGTGTATTCTGTGTAGAAAACAGAGATGCCAGCTTAGTTCTTCAGCCTTTTCTGGTTAAGGATGGCCTTGTCATCTGCCTGCTAGCAATGACAGCCAGTCTCTGACTGTGAGGGAAACACATCTGATTGCCTCCTAAAGAGAAGTGAGTTTAAAATCTATATAAGGGTACAGGATGAAGATCAGTATTTCCTCCTCACTTCCAGCAGAGCACAGCTTCATTTAGGTCAAATTTGTTTGGAGAATTGCATCTGTGACATCCTCGAGCCTGGAAGGAGCAGAGCTGGAGTGAACAGCGAGTGCAGTTGGCATGTAGGAGTTCCTGAGCGCTGTTACACTTTTGCTGGAATTTGGACGTAGGAGTTTTTAGAGACTGAGCATGCTCAGGGTAGATGAAGGTCAGTGGAGCTGACAGCTTGCCCACTGCAGACAGAAGGTTCAGAGATGCTATTAACAACTCTCTGAAAGCTCTTAAGTATTTGGACGTGGCAATTTTCAGAGGTTTCTAAATAAACAATAACTGAGTGCATTTTCAGGGAAACTGCTGAAATATCTCCATGGGCGTGTCATCCACCTAAGCTCCTACACCAAAGCATAAAAGTAACACAGCTCTGTAGATAAATATTTCCTTGCTCATTCTTATAGAGAAAATGTGGGAAATTCATGTCAAAATTATTTGTGTTTGATAAACTTAAGCAGTGAAAATCAGAGGCCTGTAGCAGAATTATATTAAGAATAATAATAAAGAAAATTATAATAACTATAGTTTTACTGACAGCTCCACTTACATTACCATTTTGAAATCTTTCCACTTCAATGTGTAATCTGCATTTACATTGGTATAAGAACTCAGCACAACAGTTTTTAAAGAAAGAATCTTAYGACACTTTAGGCTAATGGAATTGTACGTGTGCATTATAGTATATTCACAGAAAGAAATATTAAGTGAAGAGGGGGAATCATTTTATTAAAATCTCTCCCCTATTCTTACATTTCATGCATACTGAAATATTAGAGAAGAGAGGGAAGAAGGAAAAATCTGTTAAAAAAATTGAGAAGGTGTATTGAGCTGGTGAATATTCTTTTCTAGGAACACCTTTAAATTCCTCATTTTCTGGTGTATGAAGTGAATATAAAAATTTTATGGAAGAGTTATGTTAAGTCTTTGGGATATTAATATATTCTAAAAAATAGGTATGATATATTTTCACTTGATGCAGCTAATATAAAAATCATTTGTTTTGTCAATGCTTCCTGGACTAGAATTCCACTTTTTGGTCCTTATCCTAGGTAAGACATTGTTTGCAAATTGTGCTTCTTGGGAGGGTGCTTGGAAAAGAAAATCTAACTGTCAAAGATGTTGCTAAGGTATTAAGGTACGGTAAAAGCAGAGAGGTTGTCATAGTAACAGTTAAAAATAAACAGTGACATTTTTCTGGCTTTTTCTTTTTTCAGTCTGCTGAAGAAAATTGAGCGGGAAACATGGAGGGAAAGTGGCGTTTCGTTAATTGCCACTGTGACTCGCCTCATGGAGAGGCTCCTGGACTACAGGTGAGTGATTATCACAGGTTAGAAGTAGGGTTGTCATCTTTGAAATGTTAGGAAACAAATACAGTTATTTTGCTCGAACGGTGACTGCACATGGATACATGGATACATCAGCTCTAAGTGCTCAGGTTCTCTGACAGCAGCTGCTTAGTCAACAGGAAAATGCAACTGGCAGGAGGAAAACAATCAAATAGTGTCCCCGTAGTGTAAAAATCCAGTGGCCTGCATGAGTTTCCTGTCAGGGAACGTAGTAACTTTCTGCAGTAGGTTAGTGACTCAAACCTGTCTGCAGACACAGAGCTCAGTGCTAATCACCTGACAGTTGTTTTACACAATATGTAAAATTCTTACCACTGTGTCAATCATGCTTAGTTGTATTGTCAGCTGGCGCAGTGAGTATGTACACAAAGATATGATCTCTGGGTGAACACCTCATCTGACTGTGCCACATGATCCAAGGAGAGAGGAATGAGAGGCATGTGCTCTCCTTCAGGAGAAGAGACTAAAAGTGATTTTTCCCAGTCAGTTGTGAGCCTGTGTGGAGGCTTCAGATTTCAACTTAGTCCTCCTTATTGCCACCAACWGTAGCACTTTCTAGACTTAAGTGTAAGGATTTCTCCCAGATTCCATAGAGACACAGGGTAAGACCTAGTACTCCTCTGGCTATTATCACTGGTAGTTTGAAAGGAAAGCTATTCCATCGACAAAGAGACCTAACTCTCAATTTCTAGAAGCCTGGCACTGCTATTTCTCTTCAGAGTTCAGTTGGATTAAAGCTCCAGGACTTCTAATCTTCCAAATTGRTGGTGTGCTGTTAGTTATGAGAGTATTTGGGGCAATTGTTTAGTTCATTTATACAAGAATGTTTTAAAGCTATGTTAAAAATCTTTTAGTGACTACRTGGTGATGTGTGCCTGTTACTCTTTTATTTCAGCATGGTTATACTGGCTGTTTTTCACTGTGTGATAAAAAAGGTCACATAGTAATGACAGAGCCAGAAAGAMAACACTGATTTTTTTGAAATTGAGGTATTCAATGTACTACAAAAGGAGGCATGAAATCCCTTAGCCACTTGGGTCAGCTGTTCACTCAAATGCCATCATTTCAGTCAGCTTGCCAAGTCAAATATGTCTGTTTTCTGAGGTGTGTTTCACTGTAAGATGATCAGCATCAATCCTTTTGACTTTCATTACTTTCTGCTTTAGGGACTGCATGAAAATGGGAGAAGTGGATGGCAAAAAGATTGGCTGCACTGTTAGCCTTTTGGTTTGTATACTATTTCATCTTCCTCTTTTTGATTTCTGTTACACATTTTCTACTCTACATTATTGATACACATTTGAATAGGAGATACTTTGCTTCTTGTTGCAATTTGAGTGGAATTTGGCAGAATAATACTACACTGAGGATCACTGATTTTTTTTTTTCAGGCTGATATAAATATAGTAGGGAGTTAGTCTTCGTTAGCATTTCATGTCTAGGTTCTGAGAGGTCTCCAGTACTGCTTTATTCCATTTTAAGTCACTTCCTACTGGATAAACTTCTCCAAAGTACTTTCCAAGTTTAATTAGTCTCTGAGTTCATAGAAACAAACATGCCTTTCTTCCTCTCCCAAGCCCAACAAAACTTAAATGATTTCTCATTTCTTTTCTTTCCCAGTAACTAATTCAAGTTGGTTCTTACACCATATAACATGGGATATCTTGTGAATATTGCAGAATGACTATTCTCTCCCCAGTAGAAGAGACAGAAATGCTGCTGAAGACCTGTTGTCATGCTGTCATCATTACAACAGACCAACAGTGCTAAACCATAGTATGAARAAAGATGTCATTTTGGTTTACAAGATGCATTTTGATTCTAGGCCAGTTTCCACTGACAAGTTTGTTGACTTCTGTTAACCTTGGAAAGTTTCCATTTTCATGGTGAATCTTTTGAAAAGCTGTATTTTTAGTCAGAGGAAAAAAAMCAAAATAAGCTGACTTGTAATCTGCATTTTTGACGTCAGTGAAACAATTTGGTATCACTTCTAAGTGGCAGTTGTACATAAGAGAACAAAGGATTTCTTCAGTGGGAAAATAGTGCTCTAAATGGGGATGATATTTACTATGAAGCCATAAAGCAGCTGGCTTGCTGTCAAAATATCTGGCAGGATCTGAATTCTGTAAAGCACCTGGATTATTTTCATCCATGAGGAGTTTTTAATCTATTATTAGCAAATCATCCAAGATTTGTCCAAAATAAAATTAAAATATTTAAAGATTCCAAAACACCATATTACTTTTTAATGGGATTTTCAATGACTCATACAAGCTAAGGTGGATTTTATATCCTAATAATTTTCAAATAGATTTTTAATACTCTTGYATAACAGAGAGACAATAAATGCTAAATTTTCTTAAATCAGTTTAAAAATATTCTCTCTATAAAGTTTTTATTTTTATGTTTTCATAGTGTTCTCCTCACCTTTTTCCTTGACAATAACTCAATTTAGGAAACAGTGGCACAGAATAAGAATACTGTACATGAGGAGAAAAACTGCTTAGAGTTCAAAATAGTGATTTAAATAATAGAACAGAAAATGCTAATTGCTAGTAAGAACTGTGCTTAGACTCTTTTAGCCCATAAATTTTTATTGACCAAAGCAGATTATCCTGAACACAGAGTATGTCTAGCAGGAGGASTTCAGCTGCATGACAGTTGTGAATGTGACAATACTTGTGAACAGTGCTGTAGGGTTGTTCTCCTTTCCCTGTAACTTTTTCATWCCTTGCTTTAGGGCTCGTAAATAAATAGGTAATGAATGTTTTGAACTAAGAATTATGATATTGCAGTCCATATTTAATCTGTGTAACAACAAATAGCAGCTATATATTCAGAAATCAAATCTATGCATATGTTTAGAGTATGTTGTTTGAAGTCTTTTATTTGTAACCACTACCATAAATGTGTTAACTACTACATTTTATTACAAAATTCAATTTTATTTCAGAATTTTTACAAGACTGAACTGAACAAGGAAGAAATGTATATTCGCTATATTCATAAGCTCTATGACCTACATCTGAAAGCACAAAACTTCACAGGTAACTGAATAGAAACCAGGAAAAGATAGTTAAAACTGCTCTGTGGTTTGCAATCTTTTGCAAACCTGTAACCTGTATACCCAATGGAGAACATACCACCCCACGAGTTTCCTTGCCTAATTTGGTGTCTCTTAAAATACTGCTTTTTTCAGCCCCACAACTCTGCTGTTGCTGAGCCATGTTGAATGTAAATGACTTCTGTTGATTATGCACTAGCAGTAAATGCGTCATACCATCATTTTTCACCCAGAAGGAGTAAAGTTTAGAGGAAGTGTTTGTGAGTTCCTTGAGTGAAATCTGAGCCTATACACTTTTGTATTGCTCCTGGCTATCTGTTTGGTGAAGTGTTTCTACACAGCTGTGTTTCAGAACCCCATTTTTAGCTTAAAAAATAAAATAAATACCCATATTACTTACAATGAGGTAGACCCTAAAACCTGTGGCAAATATTGCAATTTCATTATGTCTGTCTAAATCTTCATGTACCACATTTGCAGTACTATTGTCCACGACTTCTCACTACTAATTTTGTGCCAAGGCTGGCTGTTACCTTTTAAATGAAGAAATAAGAAGATATTGTGCATGGCTGTTGTTTATACAGCTTAGAATGCACTGCATTTGGGTAACTACAATTGCTGGAGAAGATAAAACCACTATCCTTTTAAATCACACAATCTTTGTTTGCCAGAATATTCTACTGACCTTGCAATACCTCCATCTTTTTCCCAGTGCTTTCAATTGCAATCACATATGTTCATAAGTTCTTTAGGATAAGATAAAAATCATAAGATTTTTTTCTTCTTAGAAGCAGATTAGTTGCCTGGGGGTTGCTAATATACAGGTTACAAGTGCCTAGTGTCACAGCAAATTTTCTTATCCTTTTCTGCTCTCCATAAGAAAGATTGTTCACTTGGGATTTCCACAGTCCCTTTGCAGTTCGTGGATTTAAATGGATAGCAGGGTATCCATTTAAAGKAAAGATTTTAAGGAAAGATTTTAATATCTTCGTGTGACCTGGCAACAGCGAGTCACAAGAGAGTTTTGATTATCAGGAAGTCTCTGCCACAGCTGTCTTTTGTGCCAAACTATTCATTTACATAATAGATCTTCGTAACTCTGAGCAATCTTGACTTCCCTTTATGCATTGGTTAATTTTATGTCTCCAGCTTACTTCCAGCCACGATAGGAAGCTAATTTTTTTTTTAATTGTTTTGCCATCTATTCTGGTTTTAGACAGCATTTTGCTCTAAATTTATTTCTAGGTCTTTATTTTATTTCTTGTGTGTTTATTATCAATGTGTGTGATTTTGGCATTCTTTGCTGTGGTAGATTTCATTGCTGCCTTCTTCTATTTTTTTTTTTCTTTGCTATGAGAGACTTAAGAATTGTCTCACACCCATAATTAGAAAACAGACTTGTGTAGTCCATTGCCTTGCTTTATCAGAGACAACACACAGACTTTTGTAAATAAGATGATCTAGAGAATTTGGGATCAGGAAAAAAGTTTGATACTTCAACAGCATTCCTTCATCCTAGGGATGAAGCCAGCTTGCCCTTAAAATGAGTTTTCTCTCCTTTCCATAGTATGATTTACTGGACTGTTTCTAAAAATCCTCTTTAAAAAAAAAGGGTACTTTTTATACAAAATACAACTTCAAATCTTTCTTTACAAAGTGCTGAATTACAGTTATAAATATACCTTTCTTGAGGCTGAATCACATAAACGCACTGATTCCTTGTGTCCTCTCAGTCACCTTAGAACTTTAATGTCTTTTTACCTGTCCACCTTAGAAATGTCTAGTGTTTTGAATATTTCCTGTATAAACTGAATTTTCTACATCATGAGTCAAACCTTTTTGTCTCACTTTACTGTTTGGTGCAAGTCAATACAGACCTCTCCCTGAGGTACCAGTATTTTATTTGTTATGTTGGCCACTGCCCAGATGTAGGATGCTGGATAGAGGAACCGTTCAGACTTGTAATCCAGTATGGTAATTCTTATTTTAGAAACCTTCTATATGAATTTATTATAATTTTAAAAAACAACATTCTTATGGCAGACAAAATTTTGTYAGAGTGAAGGACTTAAATGCCAAGTTTAGAAAGGAAAGGTCGTAGTGAGCTATCCTGAATGTGTACTTAATGTTCTACTGTATTTTGCTTCCTTATGATTTCGAATAATTTGTTGTTATCAACTTCATGGACTTTTAAAATTGGTATACAAGTGTGCTTCATGTTTTGAGTACAAAAATGTAGCTTGAAACTGTGACAAAGGTGGTTGCCAGTCAAGCAGCCTGAGATCTGTGTGATGCCAGGGTAAAAGTTGTCTGTGCAACTGAGCTGCTCTCCCTCACACCACAGATGAATCACAGCGCACTGTGCTTAGCATTTTACAGCACTGGGATTCAAAGCACTTTCCCCCACAAATATCTGCTGCAGTGATGTTTTTTTATCCATAGATTCTTAGTTGGACCTAAGAATGTGGAGGAACACTACTGCTAGAAAAACACTGTGGAGTTTGGCTTAAGTCTCCTGTCTTACGGGAACTCATATGGCAGAGGCAGAAGTAGGATATGGTTGTCTGGGGCAAACTTAGCTTAGCACAAAAAGTATATTAGTACTATATAGTTTATTTTTGCCTTATGCACAATCTATAAAACCTGCAATAAAGTAAGTCCAGCTGGGAACTTTCTCCTATGCAGTACATCTCTAGAACATGGCCCATCTTCGTACTGACTCACTCATGCAAACTGGTCCTGTGAGTGGAAACATAAACTGTGAATATTAGCTTGGACATCAATAATACATATGCTCAGCCAAATTGAATTGTCATAACCAGCAGTAATTCTGGTGTTTTTTTAATTTGTCCAAGTCTGAGTTTCTAATAAAAAGATAAATTTAATATTATTTTAGTGTACTGCTCCTGAGGAATTCCTGAAATGAAAATAAAAATAATAATTTTTAATAATRTATCCAACCATGATGTAAAGATTACTTCACAGCTCTCTGATTGGAGAGCAATGGGTTTGTTTCCTGCCAAACCAAAAACTAAATAAAATTTTAAAAATTAAAAGAGAACAATACTGCATTTCTAAATTGCTTGTTATGGCCTACTGGTATCAGGGATTTTTTTTCTCTATGGAAAGAGTGGATTGTTTTAAGCACACATCTGCCTCCCTGTTTTCCTCCCAGCCGTGATCTCTTTTGGACTCTGTCCACAGTCTTGTCTTCTTTCTTCTTTTCCTACTGATATTCCTCATCCTCCAGTCCTTGTTCCTTTGTTCAGATGGCAGAATCATTCAGAGTTTCTCCTAAGCAGTAAGGAAGACTGGGGCTAAGCAAGAAATGGTTTCTTAATTTCTTTGTCTCGTTGTGTTGTCAAACTCCAGGAAAACTGTCCCAGTGACTCCACTTTAAATAATATTTGAAGATTTTAATATAAATTCATTATACCTGTAGATAGTACAAAACGAGCGCTACCATCTGCCTAAAAATACTCAAAATAAATCAGTTACCCATTAAAAAGGTGCATGCCAAGAAAAGCATGCAGATCTGTGTACTCTGTGTTGTTTGGTGTTGATAAGTGCCAGCTGTAATTTTCTTGCAGAGGCTGCCTACACACTCCTGCTGTACGATGAGCTGCTGGAGTGGTCTGATCGACCCCTGAGGGAATTCCTCAACTACCCCATGCAAACAGAGTGGCAACGTAAGGAGTGTCTCCATCTGACCATCATTCAAAACTTTGACAGGGGAAAGGTAAAATAGTGCTTTTTTACTGAGTGGATCTGGGAAGGGTAGTTTTTTCATTTTAGAATGTTAGTTCCAGGGTTGCAGTCTTTTCTTATATTGAGGGGAAGTGTTTGTCCTTGCCTGATTAAGCAGTTAGTTAGTGATGCAGTAGGGTTCTTTTTCTGTGTTTGTATCCTAGAAATCCCCCACTTATATTTGAGAATGATTTTGTAGCATTTGACTTTGTAACGTCAAAGCCCTTTGTAAAAGATGGTGTAATTTCTCCCCTTAAAGGTGGTGAAAATGAGCCTTATAAAGCTAATGAAATTCACTTAGTCTTCAAGTGGGGATTATAAAGGCTACATTAGAATATCAGGTTTTATCTCTCAGAAACTAAAAGTTAATTTGTTTGGGGATCACAGTTCATTGTCATCAATGCAAATGCTTATTTTGAATTAAGCAAGTGTAATTATCCTCTAGTCTAAAATTTTATATACACTTAGTGCTCTGATTTGTCTTGCTGACAAGCAGGCAATGCATTACACTTTTGTGTAGCTAGTGTAAAATCCATGTAAACCTAATAAATGTAATAAATTGGATATCGATTATTGTGTTTTTCAAACAATTCTGTAATTATATGGTAGAGTTTAACTCATATGGTGCAGTGCAGTATTTTCCAGCCTACAAAAATTAAGGAAGATATATTAAGAATATAATTTTAAAATGTAAAATTCATATTCCGTTGAATCCATCTCATATGACGTCAAAAAAACTGTCCATCTCTCTTGCAATGACTTACATTTTGTGCATGGTCCAAAAAGAATATTTTTTTAAACAAGTCTCTACATATATTTTTATTTCTTCAAAGAATTCATTGGTRTTACTCAGAAGCTGTCAGTATGTTTAGTGGACAGTTTGTTGAAATATTTTCAGTTACAAGAAGTATGACTTAGTACAGATAGAACTGGCCACTAATAAATCACAAATTGTCAAACAGTTGCTTTGAATTACTGAACATCTTTTACTTGCTTGCAGTGTTGGGAAAATGGCATTATCTTATGCAGGAAAATTGCAGAGCAGTATGAGAGCTACTACGACTACAGAAACCTCAGCAAGATGAGGGTAATGTACTTGAATACTTTTCATCAATCAGGAATCCAAAAGCTTTTTAKTTTGAGTTAGAAAATAATACTTAGAAAATTAAATTTACCACAGATGGTTCTTCGGTTTGGTTTGCAAACCTTATTTTTGATCCTGAGTTTCTTTTTCTGCAATAAGAATTACAGAATTACAGTAAAAGAGCGTGCTCTTTTTGAAGAAAAATGGGAAAATCCTGTCTTCACAGAATGGTTTGGGTTGGAAGCCTTAAAGATCATCTTGTTCCAGCCCCGCTGCTGGACACCTTCCACTAGACCAGGAAGGCTTTAATTTGTTATAGAAGACCAGGTGGCTTTTATTTTATTATAAAATTAATGTTCTTTCAGTGTTTGTACTTCTACAGCATCCTTTTTGTGTGCATGCTTATGCAGGAAAATAATACTACAAATTCACTTTCATTAGTTTCCTACCGTTTATCCAGGGAATGTGCTCTAGGCACATTCACTAGGTGCAGCAGCATATCTCTGCAGTTGTAACTGCAAGCAAAGAGTTTGCCACAAGCAATGTATGCATTCATGTTTTTAAAATTTACTGCTTAAAAATATGGTATGTTTAATATTATATAGTAAAATTGAATCTTTCTTGGTACAGTCTTCCTGTTGTCTCTTTCATTTTAGAACTTAAAGCATTGTTTCTCATTCTTTCAGATAGTGTATTTTAAAGATTATTCTGTCTTCCCTTTTCTTATCTTCTTCTGATGGATTCAATTTTGTATTACATCTTCCCTTTAAAATTTCCTTTACATGTAGGATGCTTGCTGCTAGGACTGAGTGAAGTCCCTTTAATCCAGAGCTGCTTAACAACATTATGCAAAATTCTCAACACAGAGCTATGAGGCAGGACTCCCTGTTATCTGCTTATTCCATATATATTTAGATATGTCAATGCAAGCAAAAGCAAACTATCATCGTGTGAATAAAATTATTTGTTTATGCATGTTTAATTAATTGAACTCTCAATGTGTTTTGTGTTTGAAATATCCTGTTCCTCTATATGTGCCACCAATGTTAATCCAAAAACYGAGGTATGGGGATTTCTCATAGCAGCATAATTAGGCAGCTGTTGATAYTATATGCATATTAAATAACTGTCTGCATTACCTAAAATAGGGCTAAGATTGTGGGTTTTTCCACAGAAGATTTTTTTAAAAGCTTTGCTGAAAATGTCATCAGAAAAAGAGGACTTAAGACCCCTCTGTGTCAGTGTTTTAAAGGAAATAAAAAACAGATGTATTCATCAACAATTATGCTAATTGCTGTTGTGAGATTTTAAAAGAATAATATTTGATGCTTAAGTCATTGGAATCTGGTATGATTTGGACACAACTGACTTGAATATGGAAATTGGACTTTGCTGATTTAACTGACCACATTACTGCCATGTGTTTGGATGGATAGCAGATTACTGGGTAATATGTTTCAAACTGTCTTTCTATTTTACCGCTTTAATATAGATACTTAATACTTAAAAGGATTTTTTTTTTTTTAATTCTTGGAAACTTTCAGATCCCTAAGAGATATAATGACTTAATCTGATGCATTCAGAAACTTCTGGATGTCCTGTTTGCTGTCCAGAGATACATTGCAGTACTCCAGAACTGAAAGACGCTCCCTTTTGTGATAGCTTATGGTAAAAATACAGCTTCAAAAAAACCTAATTGCATTTCTTCTTAAACTCACACAGATGATGGAAGCATCTTTGTATGATAAAATTATGGATCAACAGCGTTTGGAGCCAGAATTTTTCAGAGTTGGTTTCTATGGGAAAAAATTCCCATTCTTCTTGAGGGTAAGTAAAATGAAAATAAACAGAAGGGTCATTCATGATCACTTCTGCTGTCATTCATAATCCACTTGTTAAAATTTTCCACTTTGTTAAAATTTTTTTATACCATATACAAGTTCTTATCCTCTTAGAAATTCTTCACCTTCATGTTTCACGGTTAAGAGAAGGTCCTGACTAATGGAATGACAAATGCTAGGCTTCTAGAGTCCCACATAAACACAATATTCACATTTATGTTGGAAGCCATGCACCTATACTGTTCCACAGACCAATGTTTCATGGCAGTTTCTTCCCTTTCTCCTGTTCTGTTCCTGCTGGTGGGTGCTCAGAGAAAGACTGTCAGAAGTATCCATTGGTGGTGGGATAATCAACAATTTAGCATTTAATTACATTCCCAAGCTTCTTTTCTTTTCTAGTGACTTAGAAATTCCACATGCTGAATTTCATTGATAATTAATGTACTAAAACAGACAAATAATAAAGTTATTCCTCTTAATAATTAATCTAGAATTCTAGTTACTGAAGTACCCTTGAAAATGTTTGTGGTGTTTACGCTCCTCCAGTCTGCAGTGGTTTAGCTGTATTGACTGTCACCTTGGGAAGGGGACAGAATCTGTCTTATTCATGGAGCAGCTGCAATCATAATCCAAGTTCCTCTTCCCTTGTAATTGAAATAAGTTATGAAGGAACCTTCTCTATGTGGAGGAGGCCTGAAAAGCCCAATTTGTCTTTGCCTTGGTGGTGGGGAAAATGACAATTTCTAAGTGGCAAATACAGCATGAAACTCTCTCCTTTAAAAGCGATGCACAAAAAGAGTCTAATGGGGAGATAATTCTTGATATTATCTAATAGTCATCTGAACATAAACTCTGTGTAAACCAATTTGAAAATGTTAATCTGAAAGAATTTAACATTTAGAATGCTAAACAGCAGCGGACAACGTCATGGAAGAAGGTGCACAACAGTGCAGTACTTTCAAACCTTAAGTCTATGCTTGCAACACCAACAAGGACAAATTTAATACATTTGATTTAATATTTTTATGGCAAAACAATTTGTAAATGTGGCTATGTTTGCTGTAGAAGGAATAAAGACTAAACTTCATAATAAAGCTTTCACATTTTAGTTTGTAGTCGAACAGTAATACTGTTCCAGGGGTTTTTTTTGGTAGCAATTCCCATGAAAGTCCCAATGCTCAGAATTCAATGCCAGGAACATTCTTCATGTTGAAAAACTGGATCATTTTAATTTTTCCAGGCTGATAACTGATAAGCATTTAGATGACAAGGCTAATTGAATGCCTTCTACAATTTTCTTATGCAGTGTTTTTCTTCAGAATTGTATAACATCAGAGCAAAGTTTTAGTTCCTYGTGGAATTGACTTCCAACCCATTTCGTCGTCTTAACTGTTTGTTGGGTTATATTTCTGTTAAATATTTTATACAGTCTGATATATCTTGTTAATTACATACTTTGATCCACTAAGACCAATTTCTCCCTTCATATTTCTATTAAACTTTGAAATGTAATTATTCCATTTTTCCAGACTTTTGAATAAAACATAATTTATAAGATGAAATTGCCTTCTTCTGAGTAGCCTGTTCTTTCTATATTCCTTAGTATTATTCTTGCCTTTTGTTTCTTATTTTTTCCTTCTTAAAATGATGCAAAAGTTGCCTGGAAAGTCTATATTTAAGAGTGTGTGTTTGGATCCCAATTATTTCCACATAACCTGCTCTTGCTTTTTCTTTTCTGATTCTGCTCAGAATAAGGAATTTGTTTGCCGAGGACATGACTATGAAAGGCTGGAGGCCTTCCAGCAGCGAATGTTGAATGAGTTCCCACATGCCATTGCTATGCAACATGCTAATCAGCCAGATGAGACCATCTTTCAGGCAGAAGCACAGTGTATCCACAAAATCACAAAGCCACATTTGGCACTTAAATCTTCTATGCTTTTGAAAAATGTAGGTACACCTATAGCCAATTTCAATCATATGGTGCCTCCACTGAAATAAATGGTAGGTAAGAATTCCCCTGCATTTTGTCCCAGTTCACTCTATTGTGTTTGGAACTTCTTCATGTAATTTTGGTTCTATTTAAAAATTCCTTGATAAGTCAATGACTTTATTGCTTTAGCTAAAAAAGCCTGTAGAAGTATCGCCACTGTGATAATGGTGTAGCAGTTCAAGTTACAGTAATTTAACTTCTTACAATACAATATTATGTTAGCATGGCATGACGTATTGGGTGTAAGAATATATTTAATTAAATCCCTTTACTCTATGTACTATTCCATATAAGTAGCTCTGTTCCAAAAATAAAGATGAAATTTTCAACCGAACAGAAAAAAGAAATCTCAAATGATCAAAAAAATCTCCCTGGTTCTTTTCCCAAACCATTAATAGTATAAAAGGATTTAATGATACACATCTTTAAAAGAATTGTTCTTCTGTAATGCCTCAGGAGTCAATATGCTTTGCTAACTTGAATAAAGTGGAGTAGCCTTAACCCTTTACAACTAGATTTGCAGATTTATGCAGTGACACCAATTCCAGAAAACCAGGAAGTCTTGCAGAGAGATGGCATTCCTGATAATATCAAGAGCTTTTACAAAGTAAATCACATCTGGCGATTCCGATATGACAGGCCATTTCACAAAGGGACCAAGGACAAGGAAAATGAATTCAAGGTGAAGTATCATGCCCTTTCCTGATCCTACTGGACCTCTAGATWTGTTTGTAACATCAACAACAGCTGCCTAATTGAAACATCATCTATTGTTTGCATTATTCAACTGAGTGTGGTATGACAAATTCTCTAGAGGAGATGCTATCTTAGGTTTGACTATTTCACTTCTTATTTTTAATAAAATAATATTTAAAATATATGGGAGATGCTAAGGTCTTGCTGTATATGTGACTAGGAGTGAAAAAATGTAATGTGATACATAGAAGGCAGAACTGAAGCAAGCAGTGTAGTCTCGAAAAAGGTTTCTTAGGCAGATGGGAAAACATTGTCAAGTAGGTCATCTGTGATATGGATAGGATTGCCTAAAGTTGTCTCTCTCTAGAGAGAGAGATGGTTCTGACTAAACTTCAGCATAATGACCTGTTTCTGTGATATCAAGACTACAAACTACCCTGAACTTAGAGATTGTCTCAAGGAAAAGCAATAGTTCCTTCCCTAATATGTAAATCCCTTCAGTTCCTCCTAATAAAAATGTTACTGTGAAAATTCGTCTTTTGGTGTAATTTTATTTCTGACCCACTAGAAACACATACTGATGCAGAATATATTCTGATATTCAGACAGACAAAAATAGTTATCCCATACTAATTTTGTTATAAATTTAGAAGAAAGAACTGTAAGGGTAATAAGTTAGCTAAATTGAGTCACTGTTGTCTTCTAATTTAAGTTTATGCTTTGTTTTAACTGTACAGCTTATGAATATATTTTGTGTAAGCACTGTTCCATGTTGATTTTGTCATTCTAGAAACCTCTTGTACAAAGTGTTTGCCAGTAGTACATTTGAGTATCCCATCAGCCATGCATTCTGGAATTTCAAATAGGGCTTCACAGAGGAGAGTTGGTCATGCTCCGTGATCTCTAAGTTGTTCTGCTTCTGAACTCTTGTTGTCAGATGTTAGCTTAAAAAAGAAATATTGAAATATCAATTCAGTTGTGAGTGACTTTTGGAGACTTGGGGACAACATGCTAATAAAGTTTAAGAGTAAATAATCAGCAAAAATTACTGCTTAGTAGTAGGACCTAAAAAGGAAGTAGAAAGTGAGTTTCATTGGCTTATGAGATTGACATTTGAGTATTGGAATTTGGATGTTAGTACTATTTTTTAAATGCATCCTGTTACTTAGGTGAAAGTATTCGTAACAAAAACTGGTACTAATTAAGGAAGATAGGGAGTCAAATAGGGAAATAAAATGGTTTTGTGTATTTTAGAGTCTGTGGGTAGAGAGAACCACACTGATCTTGGTGCAGAGTTTACCTGGAATATCTCGTTGGTTTGAAGTAGAAAAGCGTGAAGTGGTGAGTATGAGACTCATGTCAATACATATTGTGAGTTGGTTTACTTCCTTAATCATATGTTATTTGATGAACTGCTTTAAGATTTATTACCCATTTCTAATTTCTTTGACCCAGGTCTCAAGGTGGCTACAACAAAATTATTTACAAAGCGTGTCGAGTTATCTAATTTCTCTTGTCTTGAAAAGTATTATTTAGAACTGTCCTTAGAATTCATTTAAACAGTTGAGGAAAAAGAAGTTGAGAACAATAATGAGCGCCCAACGGCAACATTTAATGTCACCAAATTACTTCCTTAAAACTCAGCACCATGTAACATTTAACATGTAGAATATCTATAGCTTAATGTATCCTTCAGTGTCCTTGAAAGGTAAATATTCTAAAAATTCCTGTATAATAAGAACTTTCTCCAAATTACTATAATAAATGCTGTGAGCTGCTGAACAGAACTTGGAGGAATAGGGTCCAGTGAAGCAGTCTGCTATTGACACGGTAATTTCTTCTCCTTGTTGGTTCTATTTCTTAGAAAATCCTTCAATAAATTCCAGATATATTCAGAGGAGTGCTCCTCCTCTAAAGATCTTTAAATAATTGGTCAGTTTCTGAGCTCTGGAATATAACATCTAAAACTATTTTCCTTCTTATCAAAGCCAGTCTTAGAATAATCCCATTAAGTATAAGGATACCATAGTACAATCTAAAATTCTGTTTTTCTTTTATAATAGCAGGAAAATGTCATTTGTTCATCACCTCTAATATTCTGTAGAAAACCAAAAATGGAGTTTAGCAAAAATAAAAAAAATTACGTGTGACATGAGATATTTTGTTAGTTGACTCCAGCTGAGTCCTTACTAGGTCAGTATGACCACTAATATGAAGACATTCAGTTTACTATCATGTTACCATTATAGTCAACATTTCTAGAAGTGAACTGTAGTAATTGTTCCTGGGGTCATATGAGGTYATGACTCAGACTTGTGCTTGTATGTTTTGGTAAATCACAGCAGCTGCAGGTCTGTACTCTTCCCATTGCTCGGTTTTAGGTTTTTCCTGCAGTTTCCTGCTCCCTGTGAAAGAACTTTCTCACTCTCGAGAGATAGGCACATCCTGCTCAAGGACTGCCTTTGACTGCAACTTGACCATCATTTTAGCTCAAAGCTTACTTCAAATTCCTGATCCATAAGGTCTTGTTGTTGATTTCACTTTGGGTGAGGAAACTAACTCACAAATCTTAAGCTCTGCTGTGTACCCTCAGACTGGTGAAGCTCCCCAAGCCCATTTTAGGTAAAGTTTCCAGTGACAGTTTAATCCTGAATTCCAAGAGTTCCAGCACTGGCTGAAAGTGTGTGAATGTTCTGCAGCAAGGGCTGGGTCATCTCTTAAGGTCAGATAATGAACCTACAAAAGCATGACCATTCTTCATTTTGATCATTGATTCAATGATCACCATTTTGATCATTGATTCAGTTGATTCACATGATAAAATCACATCTCTTTGTGCTCAGAGGGTATACTCAGGGACTGTAGCCGAGGTGAGAAGTATTTTCTCTGTCCCAGTACTCTAGGACATGGAATAATATTGTTTTATTTCAAGAAAGCAAAAATTACCTGCACTATATTTCACCTTGCAGCTGAATATTAAGTTGTTTACAGTGTTTCTCATTCCTGTTTCAGGTGGAAATGAGTCCCCTTGAGAATGCTATTGAAGTCTTAGAAAATAAGAACCAGCAGTTAAGAACACTGATTAGTCAGTGTCAAACTCGACAGATGCAGAACATTAACCCTCTCACAATGTGTCTAAATGGGGTCATTGATGCAGCAGTTAATGGTGGAGTTGCTAGATACCAAGAGGTAAGCAATTTACTTTCTGTTTGTTAAAAATCCAATTTCTTTCCCTGTACAGATGCATCTCCTCTATATAAATTAAGGACAGAAAGTACTATATGAATAATAGTTTGTAAATACAACTATATTGCAGTTTTGAGTTAGGGGATGTTAAAGATGTATCGTTTATTGAAAAAAACATTTTGCTGCAGATAGTACCATTAACTTACTCCAGTGATGACTCAATTCACAATTACCCTGCATTCTTCAGTGATGTGTTTGAAAATTTTCAATTAAATAGTTAATTGCAAGTGTATTATTATAATACATTGCCTATGCTAGGACAGGATTTACTTTTTTTTTGCTGACATTCTAGTTTTCATATATATATATATATATATATATATATATATATAAATAATCAACAAGGAGTTCATTATCTTGAAGAATCATAATTTTCTAGATCCTTCTTGTATCTCTTTACGAAGTTATTAAGAGAAGCTGTTTTTGGGGAAGTGGGGGAAGGGGATTTTAAAAAAATAAATATAATTGAGAAATGTCTAACTCTTTGTTTCCAGCAGTTGTTCCTTGTTATTATCATTTCTGAATCACCTTAGGAGAACATTAAATGTTTTGGATGTTATATTTATAAAAAGTTCTGTGTAATTTTGAAATAACAGTAAAAAGGAATGATTTTTTTTTCTGGCCCAACTTGATCTTTCTCCTAATAGTCTTATGAAATAATTGGGTCTGTTGGTTGTTGGTTTGAAAATGTCAGGTTGAATAACATTCTGTCCACTTGTTTCAAAAGCGGCGAGATGCAGTGTTCACCCAACAGTGTTAAATTTTATAAAGCTGCATCTTAATTAAACTACAAGAAATTGAATCCAGTGTAGTATTAGAATCTGTCATCGAAACTGCTGTGTTATTAAAATTGTAAGAGAAAAGCAAAGCAGTAACATTCTTGATGTTTCCTAACTGCCTTTAAACAACAAAACTGTTTAGCATAGTGAAGTACCATGAGGGAAGTCCCTGGAGAAATAGTCATGTCAGAACTATGTCTGGTTTGAATTAGCGGTGTCAGAGCTAGATTGATGTCTTTGCACAGCTTCCATTCTTCACAAGCATATTAAAGGTTCTAGCTTGCTCTTTTCTTATTGTTGTCCTTGGCTCTAATTACAGATCTCCTCTAAGTGTTGATTCCCTTCTGCCCTTTGCCTCTCACTGTATTACAATAGGTCTTTACAGTAATTTGTTCTGTAAACATCAAAACTATTAGCAATAATTCTGAGGCTTTTTTCTTCCATTTCACCCTAATTCTTCTCTTTGCATGTCGTCTTTTCAGTCTTCATATATCTTCCTGTTGTTTTATCAGTTCTTATCTTCTACCTTTCTTGTTACCCTGTTTTCTGTAAATGCTTTTCCCTCCCTGTGTTTTCACTTGCTTTTCCCTTCTGTCCTGTACGAAGCTCAAAATTCATTCAGTCTTGGAGCATGTGGTCATGAGGTAAGACTGACCATGTGTTTACTAATGCCTTCCTTTCCTTCAGACAACTTGCAAGTTTTGAGAAGTGTCCTTTGGCCAGCTATTGCCTTCTTAAATCTGTCTTCCCTAGGCTCCCCCCACATTTTTTAAATTTTTTTATTTCCTTTTCCTGTAATTTTTTTTTCTTTTCTGATGGGGAAAATGTGGCTGTCTCTAATTATTCAGCATCTTGGTATTGCAGATGTTAAAGCTAGTTTCAATACAGGAACAGATTCCAGGAAAATGTAAACAAGTAGTTATTATTATGCAGCACCTTCATGTAAGCTAAAAAATGGCTGTAGACCGAACTACTGATTTAAAAAGAAACAAACTTTCTAAAATAAAGAGTTGGTTTTGTGCCCACTAACACCTCCTAACTGCAATTTGTACTATAACTTACATTTCATCTCACTCTTTTACATGTGGTAGAACAGTAGTGACCCTTTAATGATTAATGATGGGAAGCAAATGGTTTCAAAAATGTTACTGGATTTAGTCAAATTGTGATAAATATTTTTTATTTTGTTGGAAGTTAGATTACTATGTCTCTAACTCACAGATCTAATTATAGATCTGCATAAAACCAAAACCACGGGGATACCTACCTGTTCAACATTGGAAGAACATTAAGCTTGTAGCTGAGGGGAAAAACATCCCATCAGCTGGCAGAAGTTTGGGGGTTGGGATTTTAGCAAGTGTCAGAGGGCTTCTTTTAACAATTTAAACATGACTTTTTATAATTCATTTATCTGCAGTGAAAGGACCATGTGAAATGCATATAATGTCAAGAATTGTTGTAAATTCAATATAATCCCTTTGGAGGGGAGAATAGTTGCTATATAAGGAAAAATGCAGTCTTGAACAAACTGGGGCAATGCTGTGTCCAGACTATTGCTAGTGGGTGAAATGACTTTGGGGTATTGTAGCTGGTGTAATTTGATCATTGGAGGTAGACTGGAAAGTCTTGTAAGCTCATGAACATACCACATGGATGTTGGTCAGATGCTCCTGAAGTTCAAAGTGTACCCTTTTGACATCATTGTCGCTGTCAGTTCTTCAAAACATTATTCATATTAAGAGAGAATATCACAGCTCCAATCCACATAATTGCGTACAATTCCACACTGTTGTCAAGATGTCTTTACATTTAAGGAGTAATGAAACTCCCAGTATGAAAAGGGAGGAAAATCAAACACTTGTAATTAGTCACAATATTGGGGAAGAGATACTTAGCTCAGGTGCATGTGTTTGGTTTCAACTCTGATTTGTAGGTTTCAGAATTTGCTTCAGGATCTATCCTATATATTGAACAACTCATAAATTCCATTCAAAAGCGGCTACATTATTTTGCCTGTAGTTGCCACCAATTACTATATGATTAATTACTTATTTGAAATGTATTATTTATTATTGCAGTTGAAAGAAAATTTGAAAATATTTGAAAACATTATCTAGAAACTTCTTTTTTTAAAAAAGAAACAAAAGTGGTCTTTGTTTACTCACTTTGTTTTACTTTGTAATTTTATTCTGCTTAGGCATTCTTTGTCAAAGAATATGTCTTGAACCATCCAGAGGATGGAGAGAAGATCACACGCTTGAGAGAACTGATGCTCGAGCAGGTAAAATGGGGAAAAGGCTGGCAGTGTGGCCTGCTCAGCTGTTCTAGCTCAAAATGTCCCCAAATAAAATAAAAAATACCAGAGGTTAATAATTGCCCTGTGGTCTTCAGTGTTTTCTGAATTGGATTCCAAGTAGAGAGTAACTTCCTATACAAGCAGGTTTCTGGGCCATGTTAATATTTTTCCCCTAGTCCTTTCCACCATCACCTCAATCACTTCAAACTATTCTGTGTGAAATAAAGGCTGAGTGAGAGGCCTGTCTTGTCATGCATGTACACAAATATTTACACAAAGTATTTTATCACTACTACAGAATAAACATTATTGCATTGAAACATTTGATGATTTCAGCATATACTTGTATTTTATCAATATTATGGAAAAATATTTCCACTACAAGGTTTGCCATAAGAGCAAAAAAGGGTTCAAAATATTATTGTAGTGAAAGATATCTAGTAGTAATTGGCAAAGTAGGTAGGCAGTAAAATAAATACAAAGTGATTAAATTAAGCAGATAAGTATTCTATACATTATATGTTTTTTGTATTATTTCGCCATTCATTGGTAGACAGTGGCCTACCTGCTTAATATATGAAGTGTTTCCATTTGAAAATGCTGACCTTTTTTTTAATCCAAGATCTTACTAATATTTCATCTTTTTTAACTGGCATTTACCTGTTTTTGTTCTATGCAGCATGTTGAAGTTTCAAATTTTATTGCCAGCTTGGAATAAAAAGGGTCACAGTATAGGAATTTGTCAAGATGGAAATTCCATTTTTCATCAGCATTGTGGTATCTTTTGGCCAGATCAGCTAAGTGACAGGTCCTCAGAATAGATTCACTGAGCTTACTGTAATTTCACTGAAACAATGTATAGTAATTGACATTATGATTTTATTTTTCAAGCTAAAGTTAATCCCACTAATCTTCACAATGTAAAACTGGAGTTAATAGCCTCCTGTAACGAAAATGTGTRTTCCAAGCAATTGCAGTTAAAGCCTCTCTGGCACCTAGAGATGATTTAACACAGAGCATTCGGAAGGGCTGGGATGGCTGAGCGTGTGGATGGATGTGCTGCAGTCCTGACCTGAGGTCAGGGATGCTGTGCAGCTGCGTGCCACTCACAGGCTGCCTGAAAACATCAGCCAGGAGCTCTCATCCAAAGATATTACAGCACACTGTAGCTATTTTGTTTTTAAATTTGAGCTTATCTGATTCCTCATGTTACCAAGTTGATSTTTTGAATGTGTGTAACCAAATTTGAGCAAGATTAAAAGTTTTAGCAATGTAATTCTGAAGCCTGTCCTGCCTTGTGTCAAGAATATACATCAAGCCACCACTAATGGAGGTCTCTGGGGAGTTGAAATAGGATAGGAGACCATGTAATTCATTGCAGATATGTTACAGGGTCTCTGGTAAATGTGACCACTGCTGTTGTTTCATGATTTTTACAACTGTTCTTGTAGGAAATGGCTTTTATTTAGGGTTTAGAACTGTTCCTTTGTAAAGCTGCCATTTAGTCAGATTTTTCACTGTTATTCATAGTATTTTTTTAATATTACAGTTGAGTTTGCATAAGGGACACCTTTGGCAAAGTTGAATGCAAAGTGGCTTTAAATCCTCTTGTGTGTTACTGCTTTTGGTCCTAGGCCTTGTTTGGTTATAGATCTTTCAGAGATTTAGATAGATGTTTTTAAAGTAATTGCACTTCGTAGAACTTTTTTTTAAAAAAAAAAATTAATATTCTAATTAATGAAGGGAGCTTAAAAAGTGGATCAAAAATATTTTTTTTTCCTTTCTGTAGGCCCAGATTCTAGAATTTGGCTTGGCAGTGCATGAGAAGGTGGTGCCCCAGGATATGAGGCCGTTGCACAAAAAGCTGGTGGATCAGTTCTTTGTGATGAAGTCAAGCTTGGGAATTCAGGTACGTGAGCAGGTGCATGAATAGACCAGGAGACTGTTCAGCTGCGTTAAGGGTTGGTTCATTTTCCCAAGCAGCAAACAGTGACATCTTTTGGTGGTTTGTCCCCATTACAGCTTGCAGCCTTGTGCCACAAAACAACGAGAAACATGAACCTCCCATACCATGCAGAGAAAACAAGTCACGTTTCACTAAGTCACATTTTACTATAATTAGTGAAAAGTTAAAGTATTTTTCACATTAATGATGAAGTTGATCCAAAATGCAGATATAATAGTATTTACATGTAATTCTCTACATATCTGTATCTTACAAAATGGTTAATGATATTACGTTCATTATAATTAATCTTCTTTTAATAACTTGCCAGGAATTTTCTGCCTGTGTACAAGCTAGCCCTGTTCATTTCCCAAATGGAAGTCCTCGTGTATGCCGGAATTCTATACCTATTTCCATGAGCCCAGATGCTGCCAGGGTAATACCACGACGCAGGCAAGTTAAATTCTACTAATGGATGTATTTTTGCTACTCATGGAGGATGACCCATAAATGTAGTTCTGTTATGTGCATGCTTTCTTATATGGTCTGTCTGAAGTGTGTTCAGCCTCGAATAGCCAGTATATATATTCTGTCTCCTTTTTTCTCTCTCTCTCCCCTCCCCTTCTCCAATTAAACTTTAAAGATTAAGAAAATGTTTTCATATGAGAAATTATGATTGACAGTTAGAGTTAACTATTTTGTACTTCATTATTCTTACAACAGCCCTTTGAGTTACCCAGCTGTCAATCGATATTCATCCTCATCACTGTCATCCCAAGCTTCTGCTGAAGTCAGCAACATCACTGGGCAGTCAGAAAGCTCAGATGAAGTTTTTAACATGCAGGTATAATTTACTGTCATTTTTCAAACTATAAAAAATCTTTCTTACAAGACTATCTACTAAATTAATGCTTTCATTTTTTCATTCAGAAATCTCTAAGCTATTGCTGATGCTTCTTTTAAAAACCAAATCTTTAAATGACATGTTAAACTTGTTCACTTAGAAATAACTTTTTTTAATGTAACATTTTTCTCTTGTGTACATTAGAGCATTTATTTTTTTACAAATGTAAAGTAAGTAGCAGTGGACTATGATGCGAAGTCATCTGACCTTGCATAGACTTTCCTGTCCAGTTGTCATATGGTGATGCAATTATTTTACTGTATTGATTACATTTTTAGTTATTTAGTATATTACCTCATCTTTGTGTAGTTAGATTAATACTCTTTATACTGGTTTGCTATTTTGAATTACTGATAAACTACTCTAGGACGTTACAAGTTCTTTGTTCTAGTGAAAAGTATGCTGTAAGTTTTTGTTTTCCAAACCAGTAAGTGTGATGTGGTAACAGCAGCATTGCTTCTATACACAGCCTAGTCCGTCTACCTCAAGCCTGAGTTCTACTCATTCTGCTTCACCCAACGTGACCAGTTCTGCTCCATCCAGTGCCAGAGGTCAGTGCTCATCTGCCATAGTAAACCACATTAAATGATTCTTAATACATTACACAGCTGAATTTCTGAATGATGTCACTGGTCAGACATCCAGTTTAGTCAATTATTTGTGGAATCTGAATCGCTGGAGATAGAGGATTTTTTTTGTCATAAGCATAGAATTGAAATGTCTGAGTTTCACTGCATGAATTTAATCACTTGACACATTTMTATTCCAGCTTCTCCTCTGTTGTCTGACAAACATAAACATTCCCGAGAAAACTCTTGTCTGTCTCCCAGAGAGAGGCCCTGCAGTGCCATCTACCCTACTCCTTCAGACACCTCGCAGGTAAGAAGTTTATTGGGAATCCTCAGAGCACAATTAGCTCAGAAGAATATAAAGGCCCATGTTGAACTTTGAGCAAATTCAGTCTCTGTTCACTGTTGTAAATTTCCAAGAGGTGTTTTTATAAGCAAATACTCTAAAATATTTTAGATTTAAGAGATGTGACTAGAATACATAGTGCTTGTTCACATTGCTGTTTGATTTATTCAGGTGTAGGTCTGTTTCTTTGCTTTTACTCACTGACATGAGAGAGAGATGCAGAGACCAGAGGAGGCCTGCTTGTGTGGAACAGCAGCATTTGTTCACTCTAGGGAAGAAGATAAAGAATGAAAAACTGTTATCATGCCAGTTGTCCTTGTTGAGGTCCCCTTTTTTTCTTCTGAGAAAGCTAATCCTAGCCACTGTGAGAYAAAAAACAATTCCGTGTGGCAATTCCTATTTTTCAATGTAGTTTCAGAAAAGAATGATAGACATTTTATTACTCCAGAGAAAAGAATGAATTGTGTTCTTGCCTTAAAATACTGTTACATAGGTCTGTATGAAATGTGTATTTTTTGAGTATTCTGCAATACAGAATGATCTCGGTAAGCTGGCTGATATTGAATCCTTATTTCATCTTTTCTTCTTGATGAACCTGTTTTCCTAAAGTGCTTTTCTTTAACACAGCTGCTGATTAATACCTGCCATCACACAATGCACCTCTTGCTGAAGCTGAGAAAGATGAGAACATATGTGCAGTGTTAAAGGCTCTCACTTTAACRCTCCCATGTCTACCAGAAGTTTTGCCTCATAAAAAACAACTCTAGGATCCTTTCTTTTAGAAATTATTTATTGGTTTCTCATTAGTTGTTTTCTCGTCCCTTGTTTCTTCAGTTATTGAATTTGCTCTTGATTTAATTTTTAATCTCTTTTCTGTTTAAGTTCTCATGTTATTTCCTGAGGTCTTAAGAAGTAATTTTGAAGCTTAGCCACGCTTAAGGACAGTTCTTAGGAACTTCTTACAGCAGACAGATCTACTGGGCACTTTGGCAGTGGTAGTGCAGCCAAAACAACACAGGAAAGATCAGGAGATGCTCTTTAAATGAAGCGGTTTTACAGTTTGCCGCAAAGAAAAATTATCCCGTTTTTGCTCCCAGACTACAAACTCTTGCTTTGCCAAGTGGAATGCGACTTCTATCCCCCACTCTATCCGAGATTGCATAAGGGAGGCTGARGAGCTCGTAGGCCCAGTCTCCGCTCTCTCTGAGACTCGCCCAGCAGGAAAATCTCCCAATCTGTCTCTACCCTCAGTGTCCCATGWGAGGGTAAGTAGAAAATTAACTTGCTCATACAGTGAAGTATGTTTCAAAGATGAGAAGGTCTGACCGTTTCTTTCCGCCCTTATAACCATAAATGAGGATATATCTTTCTGGGGAAAGGTGAAATTTCTTTCTCTGGTGTGCTGTCCCCTCAGCATTAAAAATGGACTGTAATCAGAAACAAAATCCTGGTTCTCTGTCTTCTGATAAAGAAGGGGAAAAGAAATCCTCAGGACAACTGTAAG